TGAGCAGGATGGAGAATTTTTGAACTAAGGAGTTTGCATATCATTGGTGGTTAGGTTTCTGACATAAGGGATTTTCCTTCCTTTTGTTAAATCTACTCATTGTTAAAATTAAAGAAATCTGATGTCATTAAAATGTAGTATGATTAGTAAAGCATTTGTTGAGTAGGTATAAAGTTACACAGCTTGCCTTCTAGACGTTAGGATTCCTAGACATTGAAGTTCCCTCCTAGACTTTGAGATTCTGCTATCAGCCACTAAAGGGATGGGACTACCAGTGGTTAGATTCTTCTAAGTGCCTTAGCACTGAGAGCTGTATAATAAAGTCAAGTGTGTTTTTTCTATAAGCATATTATTTATTTAAAAGCATCATATAAATATTTAACTACATACTCTACAAATTAAATACTATATAATTAAAAACAGAAAATATAGAGCCAGATAAGAAGGAAGTTAAATGCAAATTAAACATTGTAGTTTCTTGCTACGTCAGTGTTACAATACTTATTTCCCTAATTATGTTTTTCCCTGCTTTAAGAATTAATCCATTACTTCTTTCCAGGAAATGCTTTCTGGCATTAAAAGTCCTAGGTGCTTGCCTGACCACTGTCTGTCAGCATAAGATACCTTTGATACTTGAGTATTTAAAAAATCCTTTATGGTACTTTCCAGCTTCTTGTTTGCAAACTTGGTACATATTATTGACCTTTCATTAATTGCTAGCCTGATGGAAGGCAGAAATAGCTCCTCTCTTATCTACATTCCCCTTATGTAACCAAAAGTAAACACTGTTAACATATCACTATTTCTTTTAGTATATATATGTTGAGATCACAAATATAATTTTATATTCTGCTTTTTATACTTTTACATACTTTCATTAGCTTTGGAAACTCTTCCTAATAATATGTTTTACTGGTTTCATGATGTCCCACACGTGGATGTCACATACCTCTCCTCGAATTTCAGGGATCACATCATTATCTGACTTGGGACAGCCTGACCTTCAACTCTGTTCTCAGGTAGATACCACATTCCAATCCAGATGACTGGCATGCTGTAGATGGGATATGCTAATAAGTTGAAGCTGTTTCTTTTTACCACTAAAAAGAGCACTGAATGTAGAAGATATACCAATATATATTTCTTGCATTGAATGTCATTTTACAGTTGCACAGTACTCACTATTTACTATTGATTTCACTTATTTTTAGTGATTAGTTTTATATTGGTTTTATGGTATAACACTTTTTAAAAAAATGGCATTTATTTATAACTTTACTGTTTTAACCTGAGTGTCACTTTTAATTGTGATTTGGCATGCTTAAGACTAAGTTGGCATTTAGGGAAATGGTTTTTCTTGGGTATCCTTATTTGAGTTGCTTAAGTAATTCCTGTTACTTTTCAAAGAATGTAGTCAAAATCCTCCAAAAAGAAAATAGATAGAACTTTATTCTGCAGTTGGCTTTGCTGTTTGTTGATAAAAATAGTTCAAGTAGAGATGGATTATACTGTCCCTTGCCACTTGGGCCTAGTTCTTTCTTGACATAGGGTGAGATGCTTAGAAAGACTTGCTTTTAATTTATGGTGATTAAAGAAGAACACTCTGTGGGACTTTCCTGGTGGTCCAGTGGTTAAGAATCCCCCTTGCAATGCAGGAGACTCAGGGAACTAAGATCCCTCATGTCTTGGGGCAACTAAGCCCTGCACACTGCAACTAAGACCCGATGCAGCCAAATAAATAAATAAATATTAAAAAAAAAAAGAGCACTCTGTATACTTGCAGAAGTGGCTCTACAAAGGACTGCTTTGAGGCTCATCTAGTCCTTGCCTGTTCCTAGAGGAGGTTACATGTGAATGTAGGATACCATTCAAATAATTATTACCAAACAGGTTTAGCTTAGGAAAGACTGACCTCAGTTGCTAACAATCTGGGTCAACGATGAGGAGGAATATTTTACTTCCCATGGTGATCTATTGACATCTAAGATTCAAATATGAATGGATTAATCCAGCCACTATGTATGGGCTTCAGTTGAATTTAGTATTTTAACTCTCTGAAAATGAAAACAATATCGTTAGGAAAAAGGATCCTAAAAAAGGCAAAGACACTAAAGAGACTGATTATGTAAATAAAAAAAAATTTTTAAGTTTACTTTTACCTCTACATGAGCATGTACCAAATATAGATGATTTGGTACATCTTAGAGTAAGAGCCACATTCTTCTGTAGCTTTTTTATCTCAGGGACACTTCATGTCGGGGAAGAGAAGTTCTTCAGTTCATCCAGAAGTTGTTAATAAATCTGAATGCTCAAGGTTTCTAGAGTTTCAGTGCTCTTTGTAAAATTTTGGGATCAAAGCCCTAGGATTTAGGGTACTTAGTGTTTACATGCAGGATTTATGATGATGCTCTTTGATGGTTAAACTAGTAAGATCAATACAGAATGAATCAGAACACAAATATGCAGAGTCACTTGAGGAACCAGACTGGCTCTCAGGCCTGCACAATTTGACTGTAACCTATTGGAATTGTGTCAGTCAGAACAGGCCAGATTAACCCTGAGGAAGCATAGGAGATGGAGAATCACTGAAGCAGAAGTTGGCAGTCACTTGGCCTCTGTAATGGCAGTTTCTTACAGTACAACAATAACTGGCCTTTTAATGACCACCTCAGTCTTGTGTGCATCTTGGTTACCTTGAAATATCTTTCAGAACTGGTTTAGAAATAGAACAGGGGAATGGCCAACAGGTACATGAGAAAGTGCTCCACAAGACCAGTCATGAGGGAAATGCAAATCAAAACCAGAGTGTCATCTCACACCTGTTAGAAGGGCTAACATTTAAAAGTCAAGAGACAACAAGTGTTGGTGAGGATGTGGAGATAAAGGGACCCTAGGGCATTGTTGGTGGGATTATAGACTGGGGCAACCACTCTGAAAAACTGTGTGGAGATCCCTCAGGATATTAAAGATAGAATTGGCATATGACCCAGCTGTTCTCCTTCTGTGTATATATATCCCAAGGAAACAAAATCACTATTTCTTAAAAATATCTGCATCCCCATTTTCATTGCAGTATTGTTTAAAATAGCCAAGACATGGAAACAACCTACTAACATGTTTCCTAACATGGAAACAAACACTGACAGATGAATTGATAAAGAAAATGCCACACACACACAGACACACACATGGGAATATTATTCAGAAGGAAATCTAGCCATTTTTAACAGCATGAATGGTGGGCATTATGCTAAGTGAAATAAATCAGACAGAGAATGGTAAATAAGTATTATCTCACTTATATGTGAAATCCCCAAAACCCAAAGCCCATAGAAACAGAACAGATTGATTACTCGAGGCAGAGGATGAGGGGGTAGGGGAAATGGGTGAAATGGTCCAAAGGTACAAAGTTATAAGTCAGTTTTAGGGGCATAATATATAGCATGGTGACTATAGTTAACAGTTCTGTATTGTGGTAATATATTTGAAACTTGCTAAAATAGTAGATCTTAAAAGTTCTCATCACAAGGAACAAAAGTTATAACCATGAGGTGATAGATGTTCACTGAACTTATTGTGGTAATCATTTCAAAGTATATACATGTATCAAATCATTATGTTGTATGCCTTAAACTAATATAATGTTATATGTCAGTTATATCTTAGTAAAACTCAGTTGGGGGAGAAATAGATCAGAGGAGCTTGATGACTCAAGTGTTTAATGACATAAGGTTAAAAAAACCTGATGTCTCCCCATTTGAATAAATTCTTGATCTTAAGGGCTCTAGAGTAGATCAGAGTGAGATCCATCTGGCTTTTCCTTTTTAGATAATACTTCTGTACCAGACCTAGCTTCATTCGTGTTATTTTGTCTGCCATTACTCTATTCATCCACTTTTCAAAAATGGCTTAGAAAGTGTAGAAAATGTATGAGAAGTTAGTTTTGAGCACTGATTGAGTTAGAAAGGATTTCAATTCAGAACCCTCCTACCCTTGTAGCTATTTAAATGATACTAAAATGGTTATGGTAAAAGTCCCTTAAAGAAATTATAACCATCCCCAGGACTGTCCTTGAAGGGGAAAGAGTAGTGTTCTAACAAGATATGAAAAAACTAGGTAAAGTATATAGTGTAGCAGTTGGAGGCCCAAGAGGAGGAGTTTGATACCTCATCTCCTTATGTTTTCCTTATCCATTTGATTCTGTGCATCCAATTCTTTTTATTCAGTTGTAGCTGGTTTTGAATTTTTATTGGGTAAGAAGCTGTGTTGAGAAAATGCTTGGAATCTGGGAGGAACCTTGAATACCATCTAGGGCAGCAATTTTTAGACTTTTCCACTGAAGTACTTCAGATGATCCAGGAGAATAAGCCAATAGTTGATTGACTGGGGGACGTGTCCTAAGTGGCTTAGTGCGAGCTTAGGACATTTTTGCCTCAATTTTAGATTAAAAAATCATGGGATAAAATCATGGGCAATTTTTATTCTTATTTATAATATTTGTGTACAAATATATATACTTAGTACTGGAAATACAGTTAATAAAAAGTTGTTTTTTTGACTTTTTGTTCAGGCAGAGGTTTCTGACTTTCAGCAAATGCCCTTCATCTCTTTATATAGTGCTCATATAATGTCATTGCCCAACTGAGCCACTGGGGAAGCCCAGAAATGGATCTTAATGGCTCACAAGCCAAGAAACACAGGGTATGGGCTACTTGTGTGAGGATAAAATGTAGATGAAGTAGATGAAGTAGATGAAGACCACCTTACAAAGCACAATATGCTATGTAAATACGAGGGCTTTTTTTTTTTTAATTTTAAAATCTTAGTGTTCTTTACAGCTTCAGTCCTCTCAGAATTGGGTCTTACACCCAAGTAAAAAATTAATAGGGGAGAGAATGTTAGGATGTGGACAGGAGGCTTCTTATCTTAGACTTTCTGTGACACAGAATGATCAAGTACAACAAAGAAACTAACCATTGGTATAATTGATGGCCTTGCAGGAGGGAGCACTGGCAGTTGCTGGGTAATTTGAAGACTACTGTGGAGGGTTTAGTGTCAGCCAACAGCCCCAATGTCTGGTCCAAGTATGGTGGCCTGGAGCGGCTTTGCAGAGACATGCAGAGCATCCTCTATCATGGGCTCATCCATGACCAGGTATGTATACTGCTTCTTTTCTTTTTTTGCCAGATTGGCCAGATCCCTTGTTGAAAAGAAACATTTGCATTAAGTTGTTGGCAGAGAGAAGATGAAGGCAACTACCTGTGTGAGCCCTTGAGAACAGGACTGTGATATGATGATAATGAGGAGGAGAAGGACAATGTGGTGATAAATCATTAAGGTTTTCCTCTTAAGAGTATTCTAGGATATAGCTGAGAAATATTTACAGGATATTGTCGTTTATAGACTATCCTTTGAACATCATTTTGTAGATAACTGGTTGATGCTTATGAAGGATAGTTTTTAGTTATAGCTTATGTTTTTTTCTATATAAACTTTGTTGATGTTGAGTTTCTTTTCCTTATATCCTCAAACACTCTAATAAGCTTTGAGTATTAAAAATGAGTTAAATCTTAGTGGTTTCTGCTTCAATTCTCAATAGCAGTTACTACATTTGCAGTTTTTAAATAAGGTTTGGTTCTGGGCAGAACTGTCAAGTGGGTCATTCGATCTGATCCTCCACTTTTTAAAAATCAGGCCTCATGTATATGTGCATAATTTGTGTTCCCAAACACTCATGCTCTTCCCTAGTCAGGGCCTAGTCTTCTTTCCTGAAAGCTTTTTCTGAGGCCGGCTTGTCTTTCTTTTTTAATCAGAGTTTATTCTCAACTAGCAGTCACACTGGGAAAAAATGAATTGGTATTAAGATATTCATAGTTGATAGGATTTATTGCACTACCCTCCCTTCCAAAATAGTGTGTATTACCTCTAAACAAACTCTTTAAACCAGTTTTCTAGTAGAGTTTCAGAATTCACCGGAAAAGTTGGCTTAGGTTAGATTCTCTTTATTCAGAGTAAGTTCTGAAAGTGAGGCCCTCTTTCTAAAGAATTTTGAAGATCTGAGGACAATTTCTTTTTTTTTTCCCATTTATTTTTATTAGTTGGAGGCTAATTATTTTACAATATTGTAGTGGTTTTTGCCATACATTGACATGAATCAGCCATGGATTTACATGTGTTCCCCATCCCGATCCCCCCTCCCTGAGGACAATTTTTATCCTTTAAAGAGCTGAATTCTTCTCAATGGTCATCATTATTAAAACCTCACTCAAGGAGTTTGGATGCGACATTGTGTAGTAGACTGACAGACATCTTCAGAATCAGACAGAACCTGGATTGAAATTGCTCAGGTCCTTGGGGAAAAAAATGACAGTAGTAATAATTATGGATCTCTGAGTTAGACTGCTCTTATTTTAATCTCAGTTTCAACACTGTGTGGTACTGAGTAAGTTACATGACTGTTAGTACTTCTGTTTCTTCGTTTCTAAAATGAGGTGGTTACACTGGTATGTACCTCATAGGATTGTTGTGAGAATTAAATGAGATAATACCTGAAAAAGCTTTAGAAAGTGTAAAAAGTTGTCTGTCAGTCTTAACTGTTAGGTGATGTTATCTTTTTTGAGCTTTTTCTCATCTGTCGAAATGATGATAATATTATTTATGTCATAATGTTTGATAGAAAGATTAAATGAAACAGCATACAAATTGGCCTAACAGTTTTTAATACATAGGAAGTAATTAATAAATGTTCCTTTCACTTTTTTTTTAAGTTTCAAGTTGCATGTTGTCCTGTGAAAAAAAAACGTGAACATTGGAATTTATAGAACAAATAATTTGACCCACGACAATCTTGCTTCTGCCCTTACCACTGTTGTTCTTGCTACTGAAGTTTAAGTAAGTTCGTGTTACCAAATCCAGTGCACATCTTCCCTCTAAACACTGTCTTGTGTTCTTCACTGTTGAACATCATCAGACCTTGACTCATGTTGCATTATTATCTTCCAGTCTCATAGAGATCTCCTCCTATCCCTGCAACCACTCTTTCTTAGTTTCTTTCCCTGGAATTTTCTTCCTCTCAGATTTTCAGTTCAGTTCAGTTGCTCAGTCGTGTCCAACTCTTTGCGAACCCATGGACTGCAGCATGCCAGGCTTCCCTGTCCATCACCAACTCCCAGAGCTTACTCAAACTCATGTCCATCGAGTCACTGATGCCATCCAGCCATCTCATTCCCTGTGGTTCCCTTTTCCTCCCACCTTCAGTCTTCCCCAGCATCAGGGTCTTTTCAGTGAGTCAGTTCTTTGCATCAGGTGACCTAAATATTGGAGTTTCAGCTTCAGCATCAGTCCTTCAAATGAATATTCAGGACTGATCTCCTTTAGGATGGACTGGTTGGATCTCCTTGCAGTCCAAAAGACTCTTCAAGAGTTTTCTCCAACACCACAGTTCAAAAGCATCAATTCTTTGGCACTCAGCTTTCTTTTTAGTCTAACTCTCACATCCATACATGACTACTGGAAAAACCATAGCTTTGACTAGATGGACATTTGTTGGCAAGGTAATGTCTCTGCTTTTTAATATGCTGTCTAGGTTGGTCATAGCTTTTCTTCCAAGGAGCAAGCATCTTTTAATTTCATGGCTGCAGTCACCATCTTCAGTGATTTTGGAGCCCCCCAAAATAAAGTCTGTCACTGTTTCTATTGTTTTCCCATCTATTTGCCATGAACTGATGGGACTGGATGCCATTATCTTAGTTTTCTGAATGTTGAGTTTTAAGGCAACTTTTTCACTCTCCTCTTTCACCTTCATTAGGAGGCTCTTTAGTTCTTTGCTTTCTGCCATAAGGGTGGTGTAATCTGCATATCTGAGGTTATTGATATTTCTCCCAACAATCATGATTCCAGCTTTGCTTCATCCACCCCAGCATTTCTCGTGATGCACTCTGCATAGAAGTTAAATAATCTGAAGTCAGGCAGTTTGATTCCTCCAGTTCCATTCTTCTTTCTCAGGATTACTTTGGCTATTCGAGGTTTTTTGTATTTCCATACACAGTCATCAAGACAATATGGTACTGGCACAAAGACAGAAATATAGATCAATGGAACAGAATAGAAAGCCCAGAGATAAATCCACGAACCTATGGTCACCTTATCTTTGACAAAGGAGGCAAGGATATACAATGGAAAAAAGACAACCTCTTTAACAAGTGGTGCTGGGAAAACTGGTCAACCACCTGTAAAAGAATGAAACTAGAACACTTTCTAACACCATACACAAAAATAAACTCAAAATGGATTAAAGATCTAAATGTAAGACCAGAAACTATAAAACTCCTAGAGGAGAACATAGGCAAAACACTCTCCGACATAAATCACAGCAGGATCCTCTATGACCCACATCCCAGAATTTTAGAAATAAAAGCAAAAATAAACAAATGGGACCTAATGAAACTTAAAAGCTTTTGCAAAACAAAGGAAACTATAAGCAAGGTGAAAAGACAGCCCTCAGATTGGGAGAAAATAATAGCAAACGAAGCAACAGACAAAGGATTAATCTCAAAAATATACAAGCAACTCCTCCAGCTCAACTCCAGAAAAATAAATGACCCAATCAAAAAATGGGCCAAAGAACTAAACAGACATTTCTCCAAGGAAGACATACAGATGGCTAACAAACACATGAAAAGATGCTCAACATCACTCATTATCAGAGAAATGCAAATCAAAACCACAATGAGGTACCATTATACGCCAGTCAGGATGGCTGCTATCCAGAAGTCTACAAGCAATAAATGCTGGAGAGGGTGTGGAGAAAAGGGAACCCTCTTACACTGTTGGTGGGAATGCAAATTAGTACAGCCACTATGGAAAACAGTGTGGAGATTTCTTAAAAAGCTGGAAATAGAACTGCCATATGACCCAGCAATCCCACTTCTGGGCATACACACTGAGGAAACCAGATCTGAAAGAGACACATGCACCCCAATGTTCATCGCATCACTGTTTATAATAGCCAGGACATGGAAGCAACCTAGATGCCCATCAGCAGACGAATGGATGAGGAAGCTGTGGTACATATACACCATGGAATATTACTCAGCCATTAAAAAGAATTCATTTGAATCAGTTCTAATGAGATGGATGAAACTGGAGCCCATTATACAGAGTGAAGTAAGCCAGAAAGATAAAGACCATTACAGTATACTAACACATATATATGGAATTTAGAAAGATGGTAACGATAACCCTATATGCAAAACAGAAAAAGAGACTCAGATGTATAGAACAGACTTGTGGACTCTGGGAGAAGGCGAGGGTGGGATGTTTCAAGAGAACAGCATCAAAACATGTATGTTATCTAGGGTGAAACAGATCACCAGCCCAGGTTGTGTGCATGAGACAAGTGCTCGGGCCTGGTGCACTGGGAAGACCCAGAGGGATTGGGTAGAGAAGGAGGTGGGAGGGGAGACTGGGATGGGGAATACATGTAAATCCATGGCTAATTCATTTCAATGTATGACAAAAACCACTGCAATGATGTAAAGTAATTATCCTCCAACTAATAAAAATAAATGGAAAAAAAAAAGAAGTTAAATAAGCAGGGTGACAATATACAGCCTTGACGTACTCCTTTCCCAATTTGGAACCAGTCTGTTGTTCTATGTCCAGTTCTAACTGTTGCTTCTTGACCTACATACAGATTTTTTAGGAGGTAGGTCAGGTGGTCTGGTATTCCTATCTCTTTAAGAATTTTCACAGTTTATTGTGATCCACACAGTCAAAGGCTTTGGCGTAGTTAATACAGTGGAAGTAGATGTTTTTGTGGAACTCTCTTGCTTTTTTGATGATCCAGTGGATGTTGGCAATTTGATCTCTGGTTTCTCTGCCTTTTCTAAAACCAGCTTGAACATCTGGAAGTTCACGGTTCACGTACTGTTGAAGCCTGGCTTGGAGAATTTTGAGCGTTACTTTAGTTTTTAATAGAGTCCAGTCCGACGTCCTTATCTCCTCTTACTTTGTACATTTTTCTGAAACAGTCTCATTCACTTGCATTGTTTTAACTATCACCTGTACACTAACAATCCCCAGCTCAGACCTCTCTGCTGAATTTTAGATCCACAAGACTGCCTATCTGCTGTACATTATCATCTGGCTGGCTGTCGTACAGGCCAAGCACAGCATGACCCAAAACAAACTTATCTTCTCTCATAAGATTGCCCTTCCTCCTGATATTTAAAATACTAGTCGGTGGCATTGCCACCTCCTCAGTCTCCCAAAGCCAGAGTTGGGAACTGCACCACCAGGTTTTATAGAAACCCAATACAGATTTCCCAGACCGAGGACCTACCAGATTAGAGGCACCATCATTTAGTCGTTCACATACTTGCATCTTGATAGTAAAAAAGTTCTTTTCTTGGGTCTGTTACTAATTTTGCATCATCATCTGGAGTAATCATTTTACTGTAATCACAAGACAGTTTTACCATCTGTGCCAGAAAGAGAAAATGTGTCATGATGAAATAGTGAAGTGAAATTCCTGAGTGAAAGATACTTGGTAAATACAACACAATGTTATTGTTATGAATAAGTAATAAGATATGTGAAGGCAGTTGGTCACCAGAATGAACACTATTATAGTGTATGGTCACCTACAAAATAGCAATAGTGTTAGTCAGTGGAAGCAGGGCAAACCAGACAGCTCTATCACACACATACATTCAGCAACTACAGGCTCAAGTGAGAAGAATTAAATACAAAAGAGCCTTACCACCTTCACCGCTGCTCTGTTCTGCCTTGTAAAGATCTAAAAATTAAAGTCTGTGTCAAGGACTTGTTTTTTCCCTCTCATTTCCTCCCTAAAGATTAAGGCTTTCAAAGGCTTCTAGCTGCTGTGTCATCAGGAAGCTATTCTGGGTGTTGTGCCCTTGGAGGGGGAAGGGATACATGATTCACGCTGGGCATATCTCTTTTGTGCTTTCCTAGGGATGAGTTATGGAATGTGAACCGTGTTTTTTTTAATCACTCCGGGCCTTAGGAAGCTATAACATCATAACCCTGTTCTTAAAGGGATCTCATTTTCCTTGACATCCTGCATCTGGACTACCTTTTAGTCTTTCTGCAAGGCACAGTGTATTTGATAACCCCTTTTCTGCTGCTTGGAAATGTGGAGATGCTTAACCCCCGAGATTTCTTAGCTGACTATGAGTGCAAAGATCCCCTCTTTTCCACCACTAAGAAGAAACCTGTAGTTGGCGATATAGATGTCCCAATTTAAAAATAACAACAATAACAGAAAAGACCCTTTGTGTATGTGTATGTATATATTTGGCTGTACTCTGTGGCATGTGGGATCTTAGTTCTCTGACCAGGGATCAAACCTGTGCCTCCTGCTTTGGGATCATGGAGTCTTAACCATTGGACCACCAGGGAAGTCACTGTTTATTTCTTTTCTGAATATGTAAATAACATATGTGTTTTTATTTGCTGAAAATTTAAAAATTATCGAAGAGTTTAGAAGAAAGTCAGTTATTACCCTGTAGATAAGGGCAGTCCTGATCATAAATCTGACTGTATTTGCTCAGAACAGAGGAGTAATCCTGTCCCTTTCTGTCTTAAATCCTCATGCTTGCTTTTCTTCCTTACCAGTAACTGTCCTCTGTGTCATTTCCTCCCTTCTCCCCAGAATAGGGTACTTTCATCTTCATTAAAAACCTGTGGCAGATATCTTTTCTCCTCAATTCTTTTATTTTATTTTTTTTTCTTTCCTCCTCAATTATTTTCTTAACAGCGTCTATGAATTTGTCTGCTGCCTCTTGGTCAGCAGCAGCTGCTTCTCCAAACCTCTTTCTAAAAATTTTAAACCATCCTTTGTTGGCATTAAATTCTCTAGCTTTAGATCCTCCACTATTTTTGCTTTCAGTTGTCACATGATGACTTTGCTTTTTCTTGAATCATATTAGAGTCTTTAGGTATGTCTTCCCTATAGCAATCCTGTACCGACATAAAAGCTGAGTTTTCAATATGTGATTAAAGTTATTTTTCAAAAAGTACAAGATTTTTGTGACTGCTGGAGTAGCTATAGCAACAGCTTCACAAATTTCCTTTTTTTTTTTTTTTTTTACCATAGTCCTTATACTGGATTCATTTATCTTGAAATCATGGGTAACTGCACCTGTAGGCCTCAATCTGTGGTGTAGATTCGACTTTTTCTTATAATGCCATGACTTTGCTTCTTGGAAGCACTCCCAACATTGCTCGTGGCACTTTGTCTGGGTCCCAGAGTGTTATTCACAATCTTTGCTATTACATTAAACACAATGGAAAATACATGAGAACTGGGAGAGGTCACTTTTTACTGCAGTATTTATTTTACTGAAGAGCTGAATAGCTCGTACAGATATGATTAGTGTCACATGGCATTTTGAGTGGACACTTGCAACATTTGCGCTCACAACAATAACAGGAGGTGGCTGCAAAATTATTATAGTAGTATATAATTACATAAAATTAACTGTGCAATTATGATTTGATGTTCTTCTATATGTTTGTTTACATTGCTCTTGATTGCAAATGGCACCATGTATGGCTCCTAAGTGTGTGTGTGTGTAAGTTTTCATAAATGTTAACTTTTTATAATAGGTGTGTATATATTTTATGGTAGTAAATTATAAAGTAGGCTAGCATTTACATATATTTTATGGATTCATGAGCTATCTAACTTTCCTAATTTTTTTCAATATTTCCAAGCTGTGCAGTTCATCTATGAGTTGTTTTCAAATTGTTACAAACCTTCAAAATTTTTTTCCAATATATTTATTGAAAAAATTCCACATAGAAGAGGACACACACAGTTCAAACCTGTGTTGTTCAAGGGTCGACTGTATAACCTTCTATATCATATGCATATATTACCTCCTTAAAAGAACAATTAGAATAGTTTTTAACAATTGACCTTTAAAAGGGTGACTATCTGTATGTGTTCCTTTGATTGCTGTTGAGAACCTTTATTGTGGCAAGGGCAGGTTAGGCTTTTCTTTTTCCTCTCTTTGAATATGGATATAAGAACTGGATGTGGTCCAAAATGGTAATGATTTGTTTACCTTATGTGTTCCTGAAATAGGTGTGTTGCCGCCAGACTGATTACTGGCAGTTTGTGAAAGACATTCGCTGGCTCAGTCCCCACTCAGCCCTTCATGTGGAGAAGGTAAGAAGTAAAGGCAACCACAAGGCTTTGTTGTTTGATGTTCTGTATGCAGAATCTCCTAGGCTAGAGGGATGGCATATGGCAAGTTTCCTCTTAACCAAGGAGAGGAAATTATCCCTGTCGGACTGATTTGGAAAGGAGGATGCTTTAAAAAATAAGCCTTGTATACTCCTTGCTCTAGGCCACTTTCCCTCCTCTAGGGAAGGGGTATAAAGTTTTGTTATTTTCAAAAGATTTGCAAATATGGGACCAGAATGAAGCTTCTCAGAATCCAGAGCAAATGGCAAGAAGTTTTCTGAATGGTTAGGGGTAAGTAGGACTGATATGTGGTAACCATTTAAGAAGAAGAGGATACACCAAATACAAAAAAATGTGAGGTTCCTGGAGACCAGTGTCAAATGGAACCTAACACATTCCCAACAACTTTAGCTTCTGTTGTAGCCCTCTACTATCCTGTTCTCTCAGCTCAGTATAGTAGCCCTGGTTCCCAGCCAGGGACAGAGCTCCAGGAGGTTAGGTAACTTGGCCAGAGTTATAAGACTAGTTCCAGAGCAATCACTGCCAAATATATATGTTTATTTATTTAACCCTTGGTTGTAGAAATTTTCAAGCATAGTCAAAATTAGATTAGTGAAATGAGCCCAAAGTATCCATCACCCATGTCCAGTACTTACTGATTCATGACCAGTCTTGTTTTATGTGTATCACACTTACTGCCAGGTTCATTGCTGAGGAGATGTCTGGGAAAGTACTTTATTTTTAAATGATCAGGGAACCAAATTACAGGGTGGTCACTCTGGCTATTTTTTCTGAGAAAAGACCAGAGCACAGTGATTTTCTTACATGGATTTTTTTTTTTTTGTCCTTATCACTTTATTTTTCCCACCAAACCCCACTCTCTTTCTTTTCTTAAATGTGTTTCTATAATCATTTCCTCTTAGAATCTACCTGAAAGTGCCATCCATACTTTTTTTTTCCCTCTGATTGTGGGCTATGAAACCTTGCTTGTAGAAATAGCCAGTAGGAGTATGTTTCAAATAGAGAATGCTGTGGTGAGAGCCAGAAAGAGGTGCTCAGGTGGTTTTTCTTTGGTAAAGAATCTTTGGGGGCATTTTTCCTAGATTTCTTACCCCAGGTTTTTCTTGCCTTCTTTTCTGGTTGTTGTTGTTCAGTCACTAAGTCGTGTCCAACTCTTTGTGACCCTATGGACTACAGCACACAGGCTTCCCTGTCCTTCACCATCTCCTGGAGCTTGCTCAAACTCATGTCCATTGAGTCAGTGATGCCATCCAACCATCTCATCCTCTCTCGTCCCCTTCTCCTCCCACCTTCAATCTTTCCCAGCATCAGGGTCTTTTCCAATGAGTCAGTTCTTCCCATCAGATGGCCAAAGTATTGGCGCTTCAGCTTCAGCATCAGTCGTTTCAAAGAATATTCAGGACTGATTTCCTTTAGGATTCACTGGTTGGATCTCCTTGCAGTCCAAGAGACTCTCAAGAGTCTTCTCCAACACCACAGTTCAAAAGCATCAATTTTTTGGCACTCAGCTTTCTTTATTGTCCAACTCTCACATCCGTATATGACTACTGGAAAAACTATAGCTTTGACTAGACGGACCTTTGTTGGCCAGGTAATGTCTCTGCTTTTCAATATGCTGTCTAGGTTGGTCATAACTTTTCTTCCAAGGAGCAAGCATCTTTTAATTTCATGGCTGCAGTCACCATCTACAGTGATTTTGGAGCCCAAGAAAATAAAGTCTGTTACTGTTTCCATTGTTTCCCCCATCTATTTGCCATTAAGTGATGGGACTGGATGCCATGATATTCATTTTTTGAATGTTGAGTTTTAAGTCAGCTTTCTTCCTCTCCTTTCTCACCTTCATCAAGAGGCTCTTTAGTTCTTCTTCACTTTCTGCCATAAGGGTGGTGTCATCTGCTTATCTGAGGTTATTGATATTTTTCTCAACCATCTTGATTCTAGCTTGTGCTTCATCCAGCCTGGCATGGTGCTCTGCATAAAAGTTAAATAAGCAGGGTGACAGTGTGCAGCCTTAATGTACTCCTTTCCTAATTTGGAACCAGTCCATTGTTCCATGTCCAGTTCTAACTGTTGCTTCTTGACCTGCATACCTGAAATAGAAGACTCTATGAAAGAACCCAGGGTGTCAAGTTCATTTTTCCTCTGAATATCCCAGAATAGATGCCTCTTTGGAGTTAGAACATAAAGAGACAGATGTAGCAGCTTTGTCCTCTCCTGGAGCTGCATATTATATCTTAACTGCTTAGTCCCTTTCCAGTGGTCCACACCAGCAGCAGGGCCATTAATCTCTTCCCTCCTTCTCCTTCCTCTACAACATCTAGATGCTAGCTGGAGGGCAAATACCTCTGATTAACTCCTCTGACCTTGCTCAGTTTAGTTTTCATGTCATTAGGCCTCAACCTCGCTGGATTGATCAGGATGTATATTTTGACTCATGCTTCTTTGCTCCCAGTTTATCAACTTGCATGAGAATGGCCAGAGCAGCCCGGATGGCGTGAGTGAGCGTGCCGTGGCTGAGCTGTGGCTGCAGCACAGCCTGCAGTGCCACTGCCTCTCAGCCCAGCTCCGACCTCTGCTGGGGGACAGACAGTACATCAGAAAATTCTACACAGGTAGGTAGAGGTCACCTCTCCAGGGTTGCTGCATGGACTTCCTCATTCTCCTCCACTTTACTCTTCTTTATAGACCCACTCTTACCCTGGGGTCACATACTTTTACTTGATATCACAGCGATTCTAATCAGAAACATGTATCCATTCTTCTCTCTAACGTCTTGTGTAAAACACAGTCACGCTTTATGCTAAGGTATTTCCCCACTCTTATGCACACAGATCAATAAGAATAACTACTATGGGGGTGTAGGAAGGGAGAATGGGGACTTAGAGTGTCTTAATGTGGACAGAGTTTCAGTTTAGGAAGGTGATGGGGAGAGAGATGATGGTGAGAGTTGCACAACATTGTGAATGTACTTAGTGTCACTGGCCTGTATAGTTAAACATGGTTAAATAGTAAGTTTTATATTATGTGGTTTTTACCACAATAGACAGCATTAATAAAAGAATCTATACTATTTGCTGAGAGTTTTCTATGTTCTAGTCAGTGTTATCTATATTTTATACATACATACCTAACAGTAACTCTGAGAGTTGGGTATTAATACCCCTATTTTCTAATCAGAAAAGCAGAGCTCAAAGGAGGTCAGGTGATTGGCCAGAGTCACCCAAAGCCAGAGATTACATCTGGGTCTTTCTGATTTTGCAGCCTCTTGTCATAGCCTCTTTGCTATCCTGCACATGACTTAGCCTCTTCTGTACTTTATTTGTCCCTGGTTTCCCTCTGTCCACAGTGATATGATTCTCCTTATCTTTGCCTTTTCCCTCTCTCCTTCCCTGACCTTCTCCCGGGGCCATATAGGGAGGCTGAAGTTCTCCCTAAGGGGCTCCGTCACTGCAGCAGTTTTCTCTCCCCAGATACTGCTTTCCTGCTAAGCGACGCCCACGTCACGGCCATGCTTCAGTGCCTGGAAGCAGTGGAACAGAACAACCCTCGCCTGCTGGCTCAGATTGATGCTTCTATGGTAAAGGGGGAAAGGAATTATCTGTGTCTGTTTTCTGGCCTCCTGCACCTCACCATCATGCAACCTTGTGTAGCAAACTACTTCACTAGGCAATTATGAACTGAAAGGCTCTCATTAAAAACAAACAGAAAACTTAGAAAAAGGAGAGGCGGTACCATTAAGTATCTGTTGAAGTAAAAAGCCTATTTGTAAGTAAGCTTAAGTCTATTTGCGGAGGGAGTTGTCTGTTTTCTTTTTTTTTATCCTTAAAAAAATCTTTAGTTTGAGTAAGCACCTCCTGAAGGGCAGGCTTGATAAAATGGCGGAGGGATGATTGTGAATCAAGCTGACTGTAGGTAGAGCATCAGATGTAGTGTGGCCTAATGTTACGTAGGATCATTTTTTCCAAGGAAATTTTGTTATTTTGTGTTGCTTATTTTTCATTCTCCAGGTCACTCATCCCATCGCTAATATCAGTGCCTCAGCTAGAATGGAATCACAAGCCCTCTTTCTTTTGTGGTGGGATCCCCTATCTCTCCTGGTTTTAAAATTTTGATTCTTGCTTGCCACCTATTGAATATTCTCTACATGCCAGTCATGGTGCTATGCACAATGCATGTATCATCTCATTTAATCCTCACAACTCTGTAAAGTAGACATTAATCTCATTTTATAAAGGAGGCAAAAAAAATAAAATAAAGGAGGCCACTGAGGGACAGAGTAGATAAATCATTTGCCCAGAGTTTGGACCAAATAACTTGTGATAGGGCCTGGCTTTGAGCCCCAGTGTATCTGACTTCTGACTCCTCGTGCATAGACTTAAGCCCTTTGCTGTATTGCCTTCACAGTAAAGCACTCCTGGTCTAATCACCGAGGATTCCAGCTGCAGAAGCCATGATGTTTGCCAGGACTTTGAGCTTTCAAAGTTGTGTGCTGTGGTAGAGGGTACCTGTGTTGTCTCTACAGGCCCTGGCTGCAGTTCAGTTTCTGCCAGTGTTTCTATAATACTGTGCCCTTCCTCTGAGGGCCACTATCCTTAATTCTGACACTTTTTTTTTTTTTTTTATAGTTTGCCAGAAAGCATGAGAGCCCACTCCTGGTGACAAAGAGCCAGAGCCTGACAGCTCTGCCTGGTTCCGCATACACCCCTTCAACCAACAGTGCTCAGCATTCCTACTTTGGGTCCTTCTCCAGTCTCCACCACCTCCCCCACCACAGCTTAGGTATGGGAGCAGTGAGGGATTGTGAAGACATGTATCTCCAACCTTGGAAAACGGAGGACATAGTGGTTGCTCACCCACTGGCTATGATAGAGCCTCTGGTCAGTGCAGTTTGTCACACTTCATGTCTCAGTATGGAAGTCTTAAAGAGGAATATAGCAACTAGCCTAAGATAATTCCGTAGAATCATTAAAGTAACAGAGGAAAGAGATGTTTTTAGTTTCCCCTGGGTTTCTAATCCACATCGCCAAGAAGGCATTTCAATAATAATAGCTAACATTTCTTCAGTGCCTGCCACATGTCAGGCTCTGTTGTCATCAATTTGTTTATATTATCTCATTTAACCCTCAAAACAGTCCTACGAGGTGGGTGTTATTATTATTGCTCATTGAGCATTATTATTGCTCATGGGGAATGCATACTGGTAAGCAAAGAAGCCACTGTCTCAAGAGTTCATGCTTTTGGCCTAGCTGCTTCTCAGTAAATTTTACTTACTTTGAATGACTTAACCTTTTCTGAGGTGACATCATATGTCCTGGGCATCCCCATTTAGGGAGTTCAGTCCTTAGCTTCGGAGTTCATACATGCCAGCTCAAAAGCTCCCAGCTCACCTTTCCCTTCCCTTTCTTTTCATACCCTAGAAAGAAGATCTACTTCCTTTTCACTCTCTGGCCCGCTCCGAAAACCTCAAGAAACCAGAGGGCATGTCTCAGCAGCAGAGGATCAAACTGTCCTAGACCCTCTGCTTCCAATCACTGCATTAGCCAAGGACTCCCCCACGACCCCCAATGAGATGAGCTCCAGCACTCTGACCAGCCCCTTGGAAGCATCCTGGGTCAGCAGCCAGAATGACTCCCCAAGTGATGCCAGCGAGGGGCCTGAGTACCTGGCCATCGGCAACCAGGACCCCCGGGGCCGGACCGCCAGCTGTCAGAGTCACAGCAGCAATACCGACAGCAGCAGCTCCAATTTGTTCTCCTCCAGCAGCTCCCAGAAACCAGAGTCTGCTGCTGCTTCTCTAGGGGACCAGGAGGGAGGTGGGCAGAGCCAGTTGTCCAGTATCCTTCGCAGATCTAGCTTCTCAGAGGGGCAAACGCTCACTGTCACCGGAGGAACAAAGAAGAGCCATACTCGCTCCCATTCGGACACCAACATTGCCTCCAGAGGAGGCCCAGGTAATGATAACCACCAACCGCGTGTCAGTAAGGCGGCCTCCGAAATTTCCAGTGGAAGGGAGATTTTTTCTTAAGGGTCTTCAAGTGGTAGGAAGAGAAGTTATTTTTCTGAAGATTATAAAGAGTATCCTGCTTGTAGTGGAAAAGAGAAGTTTGTAATATAATGTGGATACCTAAATCCAAAATCTCTCTGAGGATACTTATGTTTGTTCCTTTATACATTGCTAAATAGTAAGTGTTTTCTTGGATTCTTTCATAATTCTTTAGCATCAGAGGATAGTGTGACTAATCACAGTGTAAGTTTTAAATGTGTCTCTCAGACAGAGGGGAGGTACTAATGAGCTTTAAAAATAATTCTGTTAAATTCTTTCCCTGAGAAGTTTGGTCAGAATATAATAACAATAAGAGAGAGGCAAAATGATACTAGGATTCCCTGATTAACACTAGAGATGTAGTGAGTGTTGGGTGACGGGACCTAGTAAATAAGTAGATGGGCTGACCGCTGCATCAGTAATTCAGGCTGAAAGGCAGTCGGGTAAGGAGGCCTTGGCTCCTGGGACCACCCTCACACAAATACCAGCTGGTAGCAGAGAGCACCCCAGGCACGGCCAGGGTGGGTGTTGCTGCTTTTGCTGTTTCCCTGCCATCATCTTTCCTAGGTTGTTTGTGTCTGGCAGTCTTTGGTTGGGTTTCATTTGTAAGAACATCTCCATAAAAGCAAGTGGAACATGGACCTTTGTGCTCAAATCCAGTTCTGGGTGGAAAAGCTTTGGAAATAAAATATCAAAATAAAGCAGAAAAATTAAGAGCATAAAAGGAAGATATTCTTTACAACTAGAGCTGCTGTTGATTTCTGGTTTATAATTTCTAAAAGGTGAGAGCTAAGGCCCTCATCTGAAACTTCTGAATTGCAAACTTTCGTCTCTGTTTTCCCCTCAAGAATGTGGGTTGGCTCATTGGAACTGGTTCAGAAACCAAGAAACCTCCAATTCAAAGTCTGTCTTCCCATTAGCCTTCTTAGATGTGAAGAGTGCACAGGTTAGACCCTTACTTTGCATCTCCTGGAGCAGATGTGGTGTCTGCTGTACTCCAGGTTGCTGACCTTTGAGCATGTAAAACTCCCCTCTCCCCATTCTTGAATCTATGTGGATTCCAGAAACCACAGTAACCTGCATTGGAAAAGGGAGCCAGAGAAAACCTAAGCAGAAGGGTCTGAGGGAGTATGGGTCCTGTGCAGCTTCTCATATGTGTCATCCCTCCATCTGTACTAGGGTTCCCTTGCAGGAGTTACACCTCCACCTTTGCTGGATAAAAAGACACTCTTTTTCTCACTCTCTGTTCTCGTTTTCTTGACTCTCCTCTGCACCTGTCTGTCTACATACAGGAGGCCCCAGGAATATCACCATTATAGTTGAAGATCCCATTGCAGGTTTGGGAGCCAGTCCTCCTCCTTTCTGTCCACCACCCCCTGCCTCCTTTTGCTCCTCTGTGACCATCTTGCTTAGTGCAGAACTTCCTTTTCCATTCTGGTGTCAATCAAGCCTGGCTAGTCTGGTCCTGTTGTGATGCTTGGACCTGGTCGTAAAATGATACCAATATTTTATGTGATATATTTTCTGCTTATGACTTCCAAATGCCTCAGTCCTTCTCTCAGCAGCTTTTGGGAGGTAGAATTCTTACTAGTCAATCCTGTATTGCCTAGAGGTGAAACTGAGGCCTGCTATTTCTTAAGATACCATGATGAATCAATGGCAGAATTTTTCTTATAACTGAGCACTTATTATGACTTACTTTATTTTCCTTGAATTAACACCAGAATATGTTTTCTCCTCTTTCTGTGGTCTTGGATGTGAGTGCATGTTTTTGCCTCGCCTAGACTCCCCTGTTTCCTTTTTCTTTTATTTGTCTTCCTTCTCCTGTAAATTCCACCTCCTCCAGCCCTACCCCTTCATTCCAGCCATCGAAATAGATTTTTCTAGTGACTTAAGTCTGTGTCTTTGGTTTTCACAGTGGTATTCAAACTGCATGTGTGTTCCATTCTGGGTACATAATGCATGGAGATACTGATGCTGGAATGTGTCTGCAAGGCAGAGTGGTGAGGGTGAACTGAAAATGATGAGTGGCTAAAGATACTGAGTATGTTAGCATGGCAAAGAGGTTAAAGAGAGACAAGCCTGCAAGACTTTTGTTTAGAAGAGCATTGCCCTTAAGGAGATGAGAAACTGTGAGACGACAGATTTCAAGTCATTGTGAGGAAGTTCTGAGAATTAGAGCTGATCAGTTGAATGGTCAGCATCAGGAGGTAGTGAGGTCAGTGAGCAAAGCTGGACAGCCTTTTCATATGCAGCTTCTCACACGTGTCATCCTTCCCTCTGACTGGGGTTTTCCTGGTGAATGACCAGGATGCTGGTACTGGAGTGTGTGTTGTGCCCTGTTTGACTCGGGACCGCCGAGGTTGTCTCTGAGTCATGATTTCTCACCATGACATCACGGTGACTGCTGGTGTGTAGTGAGGAGCAGAGCCCACTGCCAAGGCCACCAGGGAAACACAGAGTTATTGCTTACCATGTAGGAGCGTTTTTTGTGAGAGGAGCAGTTGACAAATTGGCACCATCTGTCAGGGAAATGGGTTGGATGCTGCTCATTCATTCATTCTCCCAGCGCGTCCTGCTCTTTTCCCAGGCACCCACCTGCTTTTCTGCCTGCTAGTCCTTCTGTGGCGCTGGAAAATTTTGTGTTTCCCTTTGGAGAAGATCAGTTTCCATTTCCTGCGAACTGTGCCTGCTGCTGTTCCTCCCTTTTCAGTTCTCAATGTTCCTTGAAAACTTCTACCCAGACACTTCTACCTTGCAACCTTCTTTTGAAACCCCTCCCTTCCTTCTCCAGGAAGGCTGAGTCCACAGTCCTGGGGCTGAGCCCCTTGGTTATAGGGCCATCATCCTTGGCTTCTGTAGCATTGTTTTGATGCTTCTTCTAAGGGTATTGCTGGGTGTTATTTTGTTGTTCTGCCAGTTCAAAAATAGGTTAAATTTGTAAGTATGACAAATTTATATTTCAGGTTCAAGAGAGGCCATATCCTAGTATTTTTTTAGTGACTTTAATTCTTCTGATATTGTTCTAAAGTCTAGTGTCAAGGATAAGAAAAACTGCAATGTGTTTGTGAGGACTGTTTTCTAAACTGGTTTATCAAGAGGGCAGAAATTGGCTGATATTCCTGAAACTCTTGGTAAGAAGATGGAAGAGGAGAGAACCGATCATGAATCCATGTTGATTTCTTTTTCGCCTTTGTGTTGCTGCCTTTCAGGTCTCATTTGCTCTCTTTTCTCCTTAGAATACACTGACTTCCCACCTCCCTCCCTCCGTGTGGTCCTGCATTCTTGGATTGTGTCCTGTTGGTGTGCCACCTCTCTCCTGTCCGGGAGGGTGTGGGGAATGGGAGCAGTTAGATATTGAAACTCCAAGGTTGGGAATATATGTGTTGCTCACCTCGTATGTGTGTTTTTACTCCCTGGTGGCCACTGACACTAGAATCCTGCAGTGATAAGTCGAAGTTGAGAGGCCCCTTGTCCTACTCTGGTCAAAGCAGTGAAGTCAGCACACGCAGCTCTCTGTACATGGAATATGGTAAGTGAGCACTAGGAAGGCCAGGCTGCAGTCGTGTCTTTGTTCTGCTCCCCCCCGTGCCTGCCACACTCTGAGCTGTGGCTCATCTTAGCTGTGTGGAGGGCGCACACCGTACAGTCTCACCCTCCTCTTCATCATTTTCAACCCCTGTGCTAGAAATCACATGGCCCCACCATTTTTTCTTGCTCCTCTCTGCTGTAGGAGTCCCACCGTCTCATGCTGTGAGTGTTACCACCGTGAATGTCTGGTGAGCCAGCTACAGTGGCTCTCTGAGTGGGTGAGAGAGACCTTGAAAAGAGGCCTTTGAGTGTCTGAGCCTAATGACCAGAAGATAAACTCCACATTGAAATTATCCATAGGAAGAAAACATTTGCTTCCTTGTCTGATTCGCAGCACAGGTTGTTTTTTTTTTTGTGTGTGTGTGGGTAGGAGGATGCGTAAGTCATCTTTAAATTTAGGTGGTCAAAGGGTGGTCTCCAGGCTCTCCCCGTTTATTCCACCATTCTCTAACCTAGGCGCTTAGTGCTTTGGGATTCTGAGATTCAGAGAAACTCCTTTAGAAGGTAGACATCTTTCTAATCTATTATTGGGAGAGACTTGTGAGCATCTTTAGCATTAAAATCATCAGATCTCTCAAAGAAGCTTGGCTGTAAAGAAAATTTGCTTTTCCAAGCCAGGGCTTTTGACATCCACACTCCATTTTCCCACAGAGGGCAGTCAGTACCTGTGTTCAGGAGAAGGCATGTTCCGAAGACCATCAGAAGGACAGTCCCTTATCAGCTACCTATCTGAGCAAGACTTCGGCAGCTGTGCAGACCTGGAAAAGGTGAGGACACTAAAGAGCCACTGAAAAGCCCATGAAGGCAATGGCACCCCACTCCAGCACTCTTGCCTGAAAAATCCCATGAATGGAGGAGCCTGGTGGGCTGCAGTACATGGGGTCGCTAAGAGTCGGACACGACTGAGCAATTTCACTTTCACTTTTCACTTTCATGCATTGGAGAAGGAAATGGCAACCCACTCCAGTGTTCTTGCCTGGAGAATCCCAGGGACAGGGGAGCCTGGTGGGCTGCCGTCTATGGGGTTGCACAGAGTCAGACATGACTGAAGCGACTTAGCAGAAGCAGCAGGGAGATCTGGCCAGAGGGGTATGGTGCAATTTGTCCTAAACAGGTTTTGGGTGCACAGCTATAACATGTGTGTAGAGTACAGTACAGAGAAGTCACCATAAAGATAAGCTCAACAAGTTCTATCCTTGGATAACTCTTCAGGGAGCTTATGCTCCTCACTGAGTCCAAAAATAGTACTGATCTTGCCTTAAAAGCTCCCTTGGGCATAGAAACATTGAATTTTAGTCACATGACCTTGACCCTGGAACCTTAGATAAAGACTGTCCCTGAAATCGGCTTCTCTGTTTTGTTCTAAGGCTCAGATATGTAATAAATAAAATGTCCCTGTAGCATTTTATGGGCTTCCCAGGTGATACTATTGGTAAAGAACCTGCCTGCCAGTTTAGGAAAAACTTAACTTCTCTGTCATATTTTTATGTGAAAAGTGGGACAGGAAGGCTGGGCATGGTCAGATACAAGAGCAAAGAGAACCTGGTGCAGATTTTCTGGCCATCAGCTTTCTTTCCAGTGGCAGCGTGCATTTCCCCTGGGTGTTTCGAATGAACGCAGTGCACATCTTGGAAGTTCTTTCCAAGAGACCAGTCACTGAGCTGTCCCCTCGTTGGCACTCTCCTTCCCCAGGAGAATGCCCACTTTAGCATATCAGAGTCTTTGATCGCTGCCATCGAGCTGATGAAGTGCAACATGATGAGCCAGTGCCTAGAAGAGGAGGAAGGGGAGGAGGACAGTGACAGGGAGATCCAGGAACTGAAGCAGAAGATCCGCCTTCGTCGCCAGCAGATCCGCACCAAGAACCTGCTCCCCGGGTACCAGGAGATGGAGCATGGAAGTGAGTGAGGCCGTGAATGCCTGTTCCTACCCCTTCAGGGCTTCTGGATAAGACATGGTACCTCATGGGCTTCCTTTTCTGTCTTTATATGTTCATGTGAGATGTCATACCCAAGCCAAAGATTCCTCTGCTGTCAGAAAGATTTCCTGTATTGTTCTGATTTTTTTTTTCCTCCTAGACTGGAGTCCTGGAGTTCATCTATGTTCTTCCTCAGACATAGCTTCCAAAAAATAGGTTTCTGATATGAGGAGAACTGAGGCCACTGGTTGCAGATTCCCTTTCCAGAGAGCAGTATTTCCTGCTTATGTGAAACTTTTAAGGAGATCAAACAAGAAAGGGAAACTAGAGCTGGTTTCCATTTCCCCAGCATAACTGCCAGTTAAGCTTCTGTTCACTTTTTTATTGAAGTCCTACCAGTTTGCTTTTACTGTGACCCTAGAAAGTGTCAGACACCTCTTTCTGTTCTGTTCATTACTGTTTTTTTTTTTTTAACGTTAACAGGCTTTCGGCTCACTTCCAGCAGCTCCCAGTTCAGTTCACGTGATTCAGCACAGTTCTCTGACTCTGGCTCTGCTGATGATGAGGTTGATGAATTTGAAATCCAAGGTATGATTTAACACTTTTCAAGGGAGCTTTCATTAACTCTTTCAATTTGGATTAATAGATGAGAAGCTTTCCCTAAATAGGGAGTCTTCAGTATGGTTCTTTATGGAATGTTGTCAGCTGTTGTAAGGGATAACTTCTCTTGTTAAAAAAACAAACCTATTTAACATTTAAGCAGAAACAAACACTGAAAGGAAGTGTTCCAGTAGAGTGGGCTGGCTGTTGATGTCACCCTGGAGTTTCTTCCTCAATTTCACCTTTCTTTCAAACTCTTGCTCTAATTCCGCCTCCTAGCAGTCCAAAGCTGGCCCACACCTACATGAAATTAGAATCCTATTCTCTTGTGCCCCATAATACAAATGAAATTGTTTTGAAGTGTTTAAAAGGAGCTTTATTATAATCATAAAAGAAAAGGAAAAAAAAGAGTCCCTGGCAGGGAAAAAGCAAACTGGAGGGAAAATGTCAAGTTTTTTTTTTTTTCAAAGTGGAGCTTTATTTTCTATCCTACCCATGTTAATTTGCATAGCAGAATCACAGATTCTTATGAGCTTCTGCTTAGAGAAGGGGAGGGGCTCTTATCTGGAAAGGCAATTGTGTTAAATCAGGTTGACCCATGATTAGTAGGTTAATCCATGCCTGAAAATCATAAATTTCTTCATCTTTCTATCAGTGCAACCAACAAATGAACAAACAGAAAACCAAATAGTTCAGGGACATAAGCTCTCACCCTATGACTGGAACCAAGAGTAATTTTCTTATAGAGGTGAATTGTGTCTGTGGATCTCCATTGTAACATGATGATGAATAGATCTTTTATTGCATGAGGCTCTAACTTCCTGTTTATACCAATTTCGAGAACCCATTCAGCTCCAGGTATGGTAGCTGGGTTTCTTCCCCATTCAGAAATACAGTTTTTACATATATTTTTCCAGGTCTTTGGGAAGTCTTCCTTCTTTTTTCTCCTTAATGCCTCTGGTTTCTCTTTATAAGTTAGTCACTTAAAACTTTTTTTTTGGTATGTGGTTTTCCAACAAGTCTCCACTTCTCTATACACCAACTGAACGGCCTACATTTCAGTTCTGACACTAACTCCTGGGGTTAACACAGAGCCCACAGATCTAGGGTTCAATCCCATGGGACAGCTCCATCTTTAGATGCTAGCTGCCAGTAGGGTCACCAGGCTGCCTGTACTTCTCTGTGACCAACTGCAAACCCGAGGGTTCCTACAACTCCCCACTCAGTTTTGATAATTCAGTAGAATGACTCATAGAACTCGGAGAAGCACTCTATGATTATAGTTTATTATAAAGGATACAAATGAGTAGTCACCTGAAGGGAAGGTTCATAGGGCAAGGTCCCAAAGTGTCTTCAGCTCAGGAACCTCTGTCTCTATGGAGTCAGGGTGTGCCACTCTCCTAGTACCTCGACCTGTTCACCAACCAGGAAGCTCTCCCAAACCTCATCATTATCAAGGTTCATTAAGTAAGCATGAATGATTAAATCATTGGCCATTGGTGGCTGAGTTCCTGCTGCTGCTAAGTCACTTCAGTCGTGTCTGACTCTGTGAGTTCCTGGGGTGGGGCTAAAAGTTCTAATCTTCTAATTACCTTTTTCTTCTGGCAACCAGCCCCTTCCTGAAGCTGTCTAGGTGGCCCCACGAGTCATCTGATTAACTTAAACTCAGATTTAATGGAAAAGGGCTCATTATGAATAATAGACATTCCTATCACTTAGGAAATTTCAAAGTTTCTAAGAGCTCTATGCCAGAAACTGAACAGAAACCAATATACATATATATAAATATATATATATTTAATATATATATTTATAATATGTAACAATAATAACAGTATAATATATAACAATTTATATATATATATATAAATCCTAACTGTGGATGTAGATTTCTAAAAACAGTGTCAGCTAGCATTTGGAGCAAAAGTCAAGTCCTGATTCCAGGAACATGTGGTATGGAACTGTCCTTCTCATGAATTTACTTCCTGTCTGAATACTAAAGGGCCCCCTTTTATAATCATTATTACACAGATGGTAGTGAAGGATCTAACCTGACTCACGTGTCAAAGAATGGACTCTCAGTGTCAGTGGCCTCGCTGTTTTCAGGTAGCCTGTGTTAGAAGCGTGGGTGTGCTCATACATGCATGTATGTGAATGTTTGCACTAGCTTTTGCACATACCTGTGACTTGTCAGTGTTATGAGAACCAAAAGGTCTAGAGAACTGTCTGGAGAAAACTGAACTTAAGCCAACCAGGAATGATTCACTTCTTTTCATTTTTAAAAAATTTTTATTGGAGTATAGTTGATTTAAAGGCATTGTGTTAGTTTCTTCTGTACAGCAGAGTGAATCAGCTATACATATACATATAGCCACTCTTTTTTAGATTGTTTTCCCATACAGGTTATTACAGAATACTGAGTTCACTGTGCTGCATGATAGGGCCTTATTAGTTACCTATTTTATATATAGTACTATATATGTGTCAGTCTCAACCTCCCAGTTACCGCTACCTCTACCCTTTCCTCCCAGTTACCATAAGTTTGTTTTCTACATACCTGTGACTCTGTCTCTGTTTTATAAATACTTTCATTTGTACCATTTTTTCAAGTACTCCTTTTCTTCTTCCTCCTGACTCCAACAAGCCTCCTCTCTGAGATGTCCTTGTTGATCCTTCTCTATAGGGATTCTTTTAGATTAATGGTCACTGTGGCTGATGGAGGTAATGGACAATGTAGAAAGAAGTGGTCAGGTGAAGAAATTATAATTTAAACCGATAGCTAAGTTACTGACACACATTTAGACAGCAGAAGTCAGACAGAATGGTATAGAAGAAGCTTAGAGTCTTTAGAGTTTTGAATTCGCAGAGCCAACTTTAAGGAAGCTACCTCTTCTGCTACCTTGTTTACAATGAGGACTTACTGCTGCAAATGTTTGGTCTTAGTAACTGCTTTATGATTCAAACAAGTAGACTTTCTGTAGGTGGGGTTAACTGAAAACAAATAGTAGTTGTCTGTTCAAAGTGGCTTTAAAACACACAAACAACAAAATTCAGGCTTTTATTAATTAATAGTTAATTATTTTATTAATTTAAAATTTTAATTAGCAGTTTAATAGTCAGCCACTTGAGTTTGAAATAACTGTATGTATTAAATTAAGATTTAGAGAAATAAAAGTAATTAGGTACCTTTTACTTCTAAACTGTTACAATTTATTCTAACATAGTCTTCCTTGAGAAGTAACAATCCTAAGTCACATTTTATTATTTTTTTGGCCACGCCTTGTGGCTTGTGGCATCTTAGTTACCTGACAGGGATGGCACTTAAGCCCCAGCAGTGAAAATTCTGAGTCCTAACCCCTGGACTGCCAGGGAATTCCCCTAACTCACTTTTAAACTGATTTCTGGGACTTCCCTGGCGGTCAAGTGGTTAAGATTTCACGTGGTTTTAATCCCTGGTTGGGGATGGTTGAGGAACTAGGACCCCACATGCTGGGTGACAAAAAGAACCAAAAATCAAACCAAAAAAAGTGGTTTCTGATATGTTTACAACCACAGTCCTTTGCATGTGCATACTGTCAGCTACTTCTTAATTAGGGCATATTCAATCTGCTTTAACCATAAAGCATACTTTTATTTGGGCTTCCTAGCATCCTTTCTTCTCCCATTTTGGGCGCTTTAAAGTATTTTTTATAAACCAAGAATATGAAGTATTTTTCAACTAAAATACTACTTTTTCTTGTGACCCACCATCCCACACATTTTGAGGGCTTGGTGGGAAAGCAAGTGTCTCCAAAGTAGTGATTTAACTTTCTACACACAGATTCCCGATTATGAAAGCATAATTTGCAGTTCATTTTTCTCTGCTCTAGGTTTCCGTATTGCTTTCTGTTCTTTCTTATTTGTTTCTGATCTGTAAGCAAGTTTATCACTAGTACAAAAGTCTTTCTAAAAAGTGTCAGTATAGTTCTCATTAGCAGTCTTTCTGATCATGTCTAGAGGTTTCTTTTTGATCACCTTGGGTAATATATGCTATTGAAGGGTCTCTTTGGACTCTTATCAAAGGAAGGTTACTTAAGCAACATACTGTAGACATAATCTATGATAAATACTCTGCATAATTATAATACTTTGATTAAAATGATCACTTCCTTAGATCCTATTTCAGCAAGTAGACCTTATGGAGCCAGAAGTGTTTGTGAAGGAAAGAGATTTGAAAGTTACTTCTTCCTTGCAGTAAAGTGGATATAAACTTGTAATCATAGAAAGCTTAGTATTCATTAACACCTATTCTATTTTTAAAAAACAATCTTACTAAGGAATAATTACTTATCAAAATCCACTCACTTTAGGTGTACAACTCACTAAGTTTTAGTAAATGTACCAAGTTGTCAGCCACCACCGTATTCTAGTTTTAGAACATTTCCATCATCCTCAGTAAGATCCCTCTCATGCCCATTCATAGTTAATTTACCATTTATAGTTAATTTACATTTGCACCCCAAGCCCCGGTCCACCACTAATCTATCTATATAGAGTTGCCTTTTCTGGACATTTTGTATAAATGCAGTCATACAGTATGTGATCTTTTGTGTCTGGCTTCTTTCACTTCATCTGTTTCTTCTGATGGTATTTGCCAAATTGATACAATATCTTTCACAGGCTCCTGATCCCAGTTAATTTTCTCAATTTCTTTGGTTTTTCGGGTTTTGTAGTTCCGTTTTTTCCTTCCTTCTTCCTTTTCCACTGAAACTTCATCAGTTCTTCTTTAATCTTCCTTTTTCTAGAATTTCTGTCTTCCACATAGATGTACCTAGTCAGGGTCCGTTCAGGAGACAGACACCACATGACAATTTGAATAGGGAAAATTTAATATAAAGAATCATTAACTCTAGTGAGCGATTGAAGTAATGGGAGACTGGCTCATAAGGAGTAAAGAGAACTTTAAAGAATACAGGAATAGCAGATATAAGCAGTAGTCACCATCTCTAGGGCCGAAGTAGAGGCCACAGGAGGGGAATGTAGAAGAGGGCCATACCCCCAAGTCTGAGGTCCAGGCCTCCTTGCTCATTGGATGGTGGAGAAGTTCTCAGAAGCTGCAGAGCTGCCCTGAGAGTGTCAAGTGATGTTGTTCATGAAAGCTGCCATGCCACCAGCCCTCACCAGGAAACCATTCTCTGGGGTGCTGGGGGTGGCTGCCCCCAGGGAGTGTTGTTCCTCAGAACTCAAAGGGTGTTAGGGGAAGGGGAAGTGGTTCATGGGAGGTTCCAGGCCTGCAGCACCTGCTCTGAAGCTTTCCCAGGAGGTGCAAGGGAAGCCATTTATGGAAAATACCACCGGTGGCACTCTGCTGCACAGCCTCTGAAGCCCTGCTTACCCTGGGGAGACACGTGCACTCTAGGAGTCTGCTTAGGGGAGCGCACCGAAGCCGCGGAGAAGCCCCTCCCTCCTCCAGTGTTCCTCCGGCGCCCTCTGTTGGCAGAGCTTCACAGCTGGCAAAAGATGAGTGTTTTCAAGTCCAACCCCATTATCACAGAGCAGACAAAAAGAAGGGCAGGTTTGGAGCCGAGAGGCAATGAAGAAGTTCATGAACTATATTTTTGGCAAGTTTAAAAATTATATCCAATTCAAGGTAATCGGTTGCTCCTCCCCACCTTCCCTCTTTTAATAATTTTTTTTCTCCTTCTAAGACAAGAGTAATTGTGGTTCTCCATTTTAAAGTGTTTCCTCTTCAATCAGCAGTTGCAGAAAATTCATTAGAATTGGATTTCTGAATGTTGGGTATCCCCTTATCTGCTGAAAGGAAAACAGGTTGAAACCCACCATCAGATTGGCCAGGAAATTCTGAAGTTGACTCTCTTCTTGTGCCTTGCTTGTTTTATTTAAAAATGTGCAGATTTTGCCAGGGTACAGGATTTTAAGTAGTTCTTCCCCGATCATTCCAATGCCCGTGTCTGGACATACAAAAATTCTTCTTATAACATGTCATTATTTTGTTGTTGTTTGTTTTTATATTGTTGAACTTACCCAGTCCATAATAATAGCTTTATCCTATCTAAAACATCAGAAACCCTTGAAATCATTAAAGAATTGATCAATTCTCCTTAAATAATTGATAAAACATTTCATAATTATGTTAGCTTCCATTTGGAAGGAGAGCTTCTCAGACTTCTTTCTAAAGTGCTCTCATTTGGGGTACATTTAACTCATTCAGTTGAGTAGCTTTCTTTTCTCTCTTTACTCCTTAATTATCTTAGACCCTGATCTACTTTTACCCAGATCTTCAGCTAGTGTTCCAACCACACTAAGCTAATCATCTGCTTGAATTGACTGGAGAGTGAGCAGGATGCAGCAGAGGCTTAGTAACCACAAGGCTTTCATGGCACTGACCAGTGACAGGTGTGATGTCCCTTTGGTATCAGGCACTGCCTCTCTCTCTCCACTCTTGGGGTAAGACCCTCACTTCCAAACTTGTGTAACCTTCTGCACTCTTGGAAATATTCATGATTAGCTAGGATATTACTGTACCTCTAGTAAAAATGAAGAAACAGGATTAAGTATGACTTCACTTTATTTTCTCAAAGAATGTGAAGATAAAGAAATGCTAAATAGATTTTATGAAGACAGTGGTTTTCAGCAACCATGAATTGTTCACCACCTCTCCTCTCTGGCATGCCATGTTTTCTTTAGTAGCCTGGCCCTCAGTAATCACTGTTAGCTCTTTACTCAAGGATATCTAAGATTTTCTCTTCTTTTTCCTTTTCTATCCTAAACAGGCTGAAATTTGCTTTTTGCTTTGAGCCAATTATTTAGGAAATATTTTTTGAAAACCTATCGTGTACAAAGCTCTTTGAGGGTTTTAAGGACAAGGCAAGACTTATGTATAATCCAAGGCAGTTTAGTGTTACTCAGATCAGCGTTGTAAACCCAGTGGTCTATCAAGGTCTGCTATTACCTAGAATTTTTTTCCTTCCAATAGCACTATTTAGAGGGCTTCCTTGATAGTTCAATTGGTAAAGAATCTGCCTGCAATGCAGGAGACCCTGATCCAGTTCCTGGGTCGGGAAGATCTACTGGAGAAGGGATAGGCTACCCACTCCAGTATTCTTGGGCTTTATTTAGAATGAAATACAGCACTATTTAGAATGGAATACAGACTAGCAGTATCTTGGGAACTGGATTTGAGTGGTGCAAATTCAGAGTATATGATATACATGAACTTACTTGTTAAATAAAATAGGATTTGTTATTTACTAATCAAAGATTTTGTTGCTGTCTTAAGTTTTTCTGTGCTTAAAGAGCATATGAAAGCTGAGAGCTTTCAGTTTTCCTCTCTTGTACTTATAGCTTTGAAGCCTGGCCCTCAAGGCCAGGAATATTATTTGAGTATATGCTTGTATACAGAGCACTGTATTAAGTGTTTGGGGGCTAACAGAAGAATTAGACATGATCTCATTTCCTCACAAGGAGATATTAAAGGCTAGTGATCCATACAAATATATATGTGTACAGAGGAAACATGAAGAACAATTGAGCAACTCAAATGCAGAGTGATGTCATTTAAGCCTGGTGCTCTATTTAGGGGCTTAAATGCAGTAGATTGGTCATTGTGTAGGTTTAATTAGGAAAAGGTCTTTTCATGAGGCATCAAAGGAAGTGAGGGATGAGACTTATCAGAACAGTCCTATTTCCATGACTTGAACAGGCTCTATCTGCCTTTCTTGAACATGAATGCTATATTTCCTTCTCTCTATTAAAATTATTTGGGTAGATGAGATCTCTAGAGATTCAATCATATCATTATTAGAAACCCTCTTCAAAATTCTTTATTGTAAATAGGCTTTGGAAAGTCTGCCATAGTTTCCCATCACTGTGTTTGCAAATTCTATAGTAAAGATCGTGTTGAATAGCTCCATGAAAATGTGTTGTTTACCAGGCATCTCCAGGGAGTTGCCAAGCCATAGGGAAGTTCTTTTCTTCCCTGTGCCATCAGACAGGAAGGGAGTCTTTCCATGAAACTTTGTTAAGGACATGGAAGACTTCTCACATTCAGGGATGATACCAATAGCAGTCAGATGTTAGAAGCAAAGTTTCAATTCCATGTACATTTAATGAGTAAGCTCTGTGATCTAAATTCTGTGTTGGGTACTGATTCTGACATTAAAAAAGAACTCGATAGAGTTCTTACTTCTGAGAGTTTATCATTTAAGAGGGCTTGAGGTTTAGACGATTAGAGAGAAATTGGAGTAATTTGTCGCTGCTTATACAGAGTATGTCCCTGCTTGCCTTAGGGACATATGCCTTAGGAAAAAATGCTTCATTTTTTCCTTCACTGCTTTGCACCAAATCAGAGTTTGTGTTTCCACCTGGATTTGTAGCCACTTTGACCTTCTCAGTGCTGTGTGTAATGTCACTAATTCAGCCTGGTGTGACTTGAACAGAGCCAAACTATAAATCGTATGTAGAGCTTCACCTGGATTCTGCTCCTTATCCTGCATAGAATGTGGCACCTTGCTGCCGCCCTGAATGCTTAGCTGGCAGTAACTTGGACTGGTGTCCATTATTATCCTTACCTCCTCCCTTTCCATTTCCTGTCCCCCTTAACTGTTGTTTCCATTTAGATGCTGACATCAGAAGGAGCACGCCCTCGCACAGCAAATCCTTCATTTCCTCTCAGTCCTTGTAAGTAGTTTTTTCTTTTTTTTTAAATAAAACTTTGGGATATGTGGAGAGACAAACCCAGTTCTTGGCATATGGATGGGGTGGCGCCATCTGAATCCACAAAGAGGCAAGGTTAATGTGACCAGCCTGCCTGGTAGTGGTAAGCCAGGGAAAGAGAAGATTATGGGTTCAAACAGGGTAGGGTCTGGTGGAAGCGAAGCTTTCAATGTGGATTGTTCCTTCTCTGATAAGTCTGATTATATCAGAGACCCTGAGAAGATGAGGTCTCGAAAGAGAGAACAGTGATCATGATATCTGACTCTGAAATCAAATTGAACAGGTTACCCATAGTAGACTTAGCTAGAGGAGATAAAAGCTGACATGGGAGCAACAATAGTCTTTAGAGTCCACAGAGCAGTTTGACTCTCTCAACTTTGTAAACAGGTGTTGTCATTCCCATTTTGCAGTTAAAGAAATTGAAGTTTAGGGATTCCCTGGAGGTCCAGTGGTTAAGACTCCGTGTTTCCAATGCACAGGGCATGGGTTCGATCCCTGGTCAGGAAACTTAAGATCCCACATGCTGTGTGGTGTGGCCTCCAAAAAAGAAAAGTTTAGAGAAAGGATTTGACATAGAATTCTTAAACAGCATTGTCATGAATGCTAGTAAATGGTACCTGAGCCTAAGTCTTAGAACTCTGTGTGGACCATTGTGTTTTCCACTGTACACACAAGTCTGAAAATGATGAGAAAGAAAGCTCTGCGGCCTGGGGTGGCTGTGAGTGTTCTTTTAGCCTGGACATCACTGTGTAAGGTGTCGGGTCCTACAGGGAGGGCTCCCGTCCTCCTGTCTTCCCTGCTCAGTCTTCCTTGACTCTTTCCACTTCAGCTCCCACTGCCTCCTGCACTCCACGTCTGCTGAGGCTGTGGCCATGGGGCTCCTGAAGCAGTTTGAGGGGATGCAGCTCCCCGCCGCCTCGGAGCTGGAGTGGCTTGTTCCAGAGCACGATGCCCCTCAGAAGGTCGGTTCTTCAGCTCTTCTTCTCTACCCACCGCCCAGCCCCAGAAGGCTGTGAGCCTTCCTGATATTGTTCTCCTTTGTCATCCATCCACTGTTTAGCATGAATGTATGTGTTTCCTTCCTAACTCGTAGAAGCCCTTCACTGCAAATGTGTGGAATGAATAAATGAAGGCATGTGTGCATGCTTGTCTTGGGCTTCCCATGGTTACACTAGTGGTAAAGAACCCACCTGCCAATACAGAAGACATAAGAGACACAAGTTCGATCCCTGGGTCAGGAAGATCCCCTAGAGGAGGGCATGGCAACCCGCTCCAGTATTCTTACCTGGAGAATCCCATGGACAGAGGAGCCTGGCAGGCTGCAGTCCATAGGGTCTTAAAGAGTCAAGACATGACTGAAGCGACTTAATTCATGTGCATGCCTGCCTACGTGCCTGTGCATGTAGGTGGCAGCTCCTTCACTGTCATTACCCCACATGACTGCTCACTAGACTTGGGGGCAGCACACCTGAGCTGTGACCACCTTGAGACACTGGAAGAGTATCTTAAAGAACTGAAAAAAGGTTCTTTTTTGCTCTACAGTTGAATAAGACATGAAGCACCCTGGCATACCAAGAGGCCCAGGGTTGGTTCAGGGACAGCATTAGCGAGAGGTGCCACCAACTGCGATGCTGTTTCTATCCCTTTTGATTCTTGAAACCCAAGGCCCTCACTTCTAATAGCCTGGTCCCTTATTTATTTTGAGGCCAAGTTCCCATGAAGCCCTTGCTTAGGTGTTTCTGAAAAGTCTTTCATTAATTGTGTTTCTGTCGTGGCCAGAAGGGTCAGTGTGTGTTCCCCAGACTGACTATGGAAGACCACTCTGTGCTCTTCTCCTGCAGCTCCTGCCCATCCCTGACTCACTGCCCATCTCCCCAGATGACGGGCAGCACGCGGACATCTATAAGCTGCGTATCCGCGTGCGCGGCAACCTGGAGTGGGCGCCACCCCGGCCACAGATAATTTTTAATGTTCATCCAGCCCCAACGTGAGTAGTCAGGGGCTGTGCCCTTTGGAAAACAGATACTTTCCCTGTGGACTGTCAGAACTGTCTCCTTACCCTCTTCTCTCTACCTGCAGCTGTACCTCCCACACAGTTCTAAAAGATCAAAAGAGAGGATTATCCTTCTTGTCTGCAAGTTTTACTCTTAGACCTCCCATTCTTTCCCAGAGCTAACTGGAAAAGAGGTCATTTATCACTGGTCTCCCAACCTGTTGCCTCCCTCCCAATAGTTTTATGAGCTGTTTTTTCCCCCCTTCTCTTAAGACGGATGGATGCTTTGCTTTCCTTTTCTCTCCTCTTTATTTGTCATCTCTTACATTTGTACAGAAAGTGTGGTTCATTATTGGGGAGAGTCACTGCCTAGGCCTAAATTCTAACCTTGCCATCCTTGCTTTGAATTGGCTCTCCCAATAGGCTTGTTTTGTTCAACTCTTAAAAAAAAAATAGGTGAATTTCCCTCCCTTCCCAGCTTCCGGGAGCCCTGTGTTTGCGTCCTCACCCTGTATGTCTCAGAGCCCTCATACAGCTGGTATCTGCCAACCCCTCTCCTTCCCCTTCCTTCAGGAGGAAAATCGCTGTGGCCAAGCAGAATTACCGCTGTGCAGGCTGCGGCATTCGGACTGATCCTGGTGAGTGTCTTCTCTGACCCTCATGCTGCCTTCAAGGACTTCACCCTCTCACACACGTGGGCAAGGGAGCTGGTCAGAGAGCCAGTTAGAGGAGGTAACAGCACAGACCTGGGGAAAGGAAAAGAAGGGGCCTGGAAGAGGGAAGGGGTAGTACCAGGCAAGAACACAGGTAATCAGAGGAAAATGATTTCTAGAAACCCATTACCAGAGAAAATTGTATACAGTAAGTCCCCTACGTAGAAGCCTTCGAGTTGTGAACTTTCAAAGGTGTAAACACATGTTCACATGTCCAAGCACGGAAGTTCGTGTGTCTGGTATACATTGTCACATGCGTGCATGCTCTACAAGTGGTCTGCTTCTGGGTGCTTTACTGTTCAGTACTGTATAGAGTGAGTTTCCCTGGTGACTCAGCAGCAAAGACTCGGACTGCCAATGCAGGAGACTCGGACTCGATCCTTGGGTTGGGAAGATCCCCTAGAGAAGGGAATGGCAACTCACTCCAGTATTCTTGCCTGGGAAATCCCATGGACAGAGGAGCCTGGTGGGCTAAGTGAGTGGGGTCACAAAGAGTTGGATGTGACTGAGCAACTAAAGAGCAACAACTGTATAGAGTACAGTAGTACAGTGTCTTTACTTCAAGCCCAGGATGTCCAGAAGCAAGCATAAAAGCAGCAGTGTGTAGCTGATTGTGTTAGTTGGATACCTTGGCTAACTTTGTTGAGCTTATGAACAAGCTGAACTTATGAATGTACTCTCAGAATGGAACTTGTTTGTATGTAGGGGACTTACTGTACTCTCAGCCAGGTTCTTAGAGACTGGATCTTCCCAATTTGGCAGCATTTGTTTCCTCAGTGGCCTCCAGTCTGGGACACAGAAACCACAGGCCTCATTGTATGGGTTTCTGCTAGCTTTGGGAACTCAGACAGAGGTGGTTGGAGTCCACTGACCAGCCCTCCCTCCTTCTAATTCAAAAGAAACAGCAAGGCCACCTCACCAGCTTTTAGTTGGGAAAGCCACCTCTAATCTTTTGACCTTCTGTTATTTTTTCAGATTACATCAAGCGGCTGCGGTACTGTGAGTACTTGGGCAAGTACTTCTGTCAGTGCTGCCACGAGAATGCCCAGATGGTTATCCCCAGCCGCATTCTGCGCAAGTGGGATTTCAGCAAGTACTACGTCAGCAATTTCTCCAAGGACCTGCTCATTAAGATCTGGAATGACCCTCTCTTCAATGTGCAGGACATCAACAGTGCCCTCTATAGGAAGGTCAAGCTGCTCAATCACGTCCGGGTAAGACCCTCGGAAAGGTCACAGCACAGATTACCCTCTGTTATTAGAGGTTTCCCAAGATCACCACAATCCTCTCTGTTGCCATGCAGAGCTGTAACCATCTTATCATTCTCGCTCTCTCTATGCACTTTCTCTTGCCATTTCCAAAGCGTCTAGTTAGTCTCAAACCTGGCAAGGCAGCTCTAGAGTTATAGATAGCACTTGATGGCAAAAGCAGGATTTCTCCCCTTCACTGAAAATATCAAGTGAACAGAGAAGAGGGTATCAGGCCAAAAAGTTTGGATTCTGGATTTTTCAGCGGCTCCCAGCTATGTATGTGATTTGGGCAGACCTAGCAGAGGGCCTTCCCTGACTGGGGGTCACTTTGAGCATATTGTTGAGTGTATAGAGAAAGTCCCAGCTTTGGTTACTGCATGCAAGCCTTCTAGACCTGCAGGGTTTAAAGGCACTTTCTTTCTAATGGTTGTTTCCCTCTCTTTCATACCCCCTCCAACTCCCCCACCCACCCTCACGACACCCTTCTCTTCAGTTGCTGCGGATCCAGCTCTATCACATGAAGAACATGTTCAAGACCTGCCGACTGGCCAAAGAGTAAGTCTTGATGGAGGCCACAGCCCTTTGGGTCAGTCAGTGTCTCTGGAAGAAACGTGTCCCAGCAGTTGGCCCTTGTTATGTGAAGCAGGATAGTAGGGGGATCGTGCAGAAAATTCTAGAAATAGTAAACTAAGAAGCTTAGAGCAGTAACTGTGTATCCTTTGATCTGGAAGGGGAACTCTGGTTATTCCATCCAGGGTCAGCCCACCACTCTTGGCAAGCTGACCTGAGTCACTCTGCAGAAGGGTGTAGAAGTCACTTCACCCTCCAGATGCCTGGTTGTGGGGAGGGTTGGGGTAGCCTGGGTGGGCTGGGTGTTACCCACCCTCATTATCTCTAGGACCCTTCTCATCCTTAACCAGCTTCTGGATAGAAATCCTTCTTCTCTGATGAGCCACACAGAGCATTCATTCTCTGCTTCTGCCCACTTCCCCTCATTTTCTGCAGGCTTCTGGATGCCTTTGACACCGTTCCAGGCCACCTGACGGAGGATCTCCACCTGTACTCGTTGAATGACCTGACTGCCACCAGGAAGGGGGAGCTGGGGCCCCGGCTTGCTGAGCTCACCAGGGCGGGGGCTGCCCATGTAGAGCGATGTGTGGTAAGAAACTCTTGCTCTAGTATGCCACAGGGCCCTTTCTTACGGATGTGAAGAGGAGCATGGGTCCAGGGTTCATGCTGTTGAGTTCCAGGAATTGAGTTAGCCTGTTAACACTGTGAGAGAAACTGCACAGGCTTGCTCTCCCCTGGGTTGATAAACAGTTAAATCATCCAGATCTAAGGAATCTAGAATTAGAAGAGGATGTGGTGTTGGCATTTCTCCTGGGAAACGGGCAGGACTAAGTGGGTCTTCACTAAAGAGCTGCCATGATGTGGAAGGAGGACCCTGGATTAGACTCGGAGAAGGACAGGGTCTTAGCTGAGCATTTTCAGTCACTATGACCACAGAAAATACCACGGGAAGATCCCCTGGAGAAGGGAATGGCAATTCACTCCAGTATTCTTGCCTGGAGAATGCCATGAGCAGAGGAGCCTGGTGGGCTGCAGTCCATGGGGTGGCAAGAATCGGACACAACTTAGCAACTAAACCACCACCACCACTGTGTAAACTTAAATATTCTGTAGATGCAAGTTATTATTGTTCCTGATCTATCCAACATACCAGAAATTCCATTTTTAGAATTCCCTGTCTTAGACTATGTCCAGGCTGTGTTCCTGTGTCCCAGAATTAGAGCTTAAAATGGGGCACATGTAGAGCTCCTGTGTATCAGGGGAAATTGGAAAAACTTCACTATAACGTGGCCCGAGGCTGGATATTATTTTGGAAAACTGTCCTCGCCTTAACAGTTCATCTTTTTTTTTTTTTTTTTCATTTATTTTTATTAGTTGGAGGCTAATTACTTTACATCATTGCAGTGGTTTTTCTCATACATTGAAATGAATTAGCCATGGATTTACATGTATTCCCCATCCCGATCCCCCCTCCCACCTCCCTCTCCACCCGATCCCTCTGGGTCTTCCCAGTGCACCAGGCCCGAGCACTTGTCTCATGCATCCAGCCTGGGCTGGTGATCTGTTTCACCCTAGATAATATACATATTTCGATGCTGTTCTCTTGAAACATCCCACCCTCGTCTTCTTCCACAGAGTCCAAAAGTCTGTTCTGTACATCTGTGTCTCTTTTTCTGTTTTGCATATAGGGTTATCATTAGCATCTTTCTAAATTCCATATATATGTGTTCGTATACTGTAATGGTCTTTATCTTTCTGGCTTACTTCACTCTGTATAATGGGCTCCAGTTTCATCCATCTCATTAGAACTGATTCAAATGAATTCTTTTTAATGGCTGAGTAATATTCCATGGTGTATATGTACCACAGCTTCCTCATCCATTCGTCTGCTGATGGGCATCTAGGTTGCTTCCATGTCCTGACTATTATAAACAGTGCTGAATGAACATTGGGGTGCACGTGTCTCTTTCAGATCTGGTTTCCTCGGTGTGTATGTCCAGAAGTGGGATTGCTGGGTCATATGGCAGTTCTATTTCCAGCTTTTTAAGAAATCTCCACACTGTTTTCCATAGTGGCTGTACTAATTTGCATTCCCACCAACAGTGTAAGAGGGTTCCCTTTTCTCCACACCCTCTCCAGCATTTATTGCTTGTAGACTTTTGGATAGCAGCCATCCTGACTGGCATATAATGGTACCTCATTGTGGTTTTGATTTGCATTTCTCTGATAATGAGTGATGTTGAGCATCTTTTCATGTGTTTGTTAGCCATCTGTATGCCTTCCTTGGAGAAATGTCTGTTTAGTTCTTTGGCCCATTTTTTGATTGGGTCATTTATTTTTCTGGAGTTGAGCTGGAGGAGTTGCTTGTATATTTTTGAGATTAATCCTTTGTCTTTTGCTTCGTTTGCTATTATTTTCTCCCAGTCTGAGGGCTGTCTTTTCACCTTGCTTATAGTTTCCTTTGTTTTGCAAAAGCTTTTAAGTTTCATTAGGTCCCATTTGTTTATTTTTGCTTTTATTTCTAAAATTCTGGGATGTGGGTCATAGAGGATCCTGCTGTGATTTATGTCGGAGAGTGTTTTGCTTATGTTCTCCTCTAGGAGTTTTATAGTTTCTGGTCTTACATTTAGATCTTTAATCCATTTTGAGTTTATTTTTGTGTATGGTGTTAGAAAGTGTTCTAGTTTCATTCTTTTACAAGTGGTTGACCAGTTTTCCCAGCACCACTTGTTAAAGAGGTTGTCTTTTTTCCATTGTATATCCTTGCCTCCTTTGTCGAAGATAAGGTGACCATAGGTTCGTGGATTTATCTCTGGGCTTTCTATTCTGTTCCATTGATCTATATTTCTGTCTTTGTGCCAGTACCATACTGTCTTGATGACTGTGGCTTTGTAGTATAGTCTGAAGTCAGGCAGGTTGATTCCTCCAGTTCCATTCTTCTTTCTCAGGATTACTTTGGCTATTCGAGGTTTTTTGTATTTCCATACAAATTGTGAAATTATTTGTTCTAGTTCTGTGAAAAATACCGTTGGTAGTTTGATAGGGATTGCATTGAATCTATAGATTGCTTTGGGTAGTATAGCCATTTTGACAATATTGATTCTTCCAATCCATGAACATGGTATATTTCTCCATCTTTAACAGTTCATCTTAATTGGTTGTGGTTCCCATTCAAAATAAAATCATTACCCATACTGAAACTTTCACTTTAAGAAGCCCTTTGTGGCCTCATTCCTTCCTTCTTGTCATCTCTTTTGAGAACCACTCTTGTGACTGGAGTTTCTCAAACTTGTGCCTTTCTTGTCTCCATCTTAAAACTTGGTCCAACACTGCCCAGCCTGGGCCCAGTTTGGCTGTCACGCTAAGTCCAGCTCCAGTCTCTTTTCCTGAAGGTGGGAGAACACTTTGGAGCCCCTCGCGCGTGTGTGCTCAGTTGCTCCAGTCATATTCAACTCTTTGAGACCCCATGGGATTTTCCCAGCAAGAATACTAGAGTGGGTTGCCATGCCCTCCTCCAGGGGACCTTCCCGACCCAGGCATTGCACCCGTTTCTCCTGTGTCTCCTGCACTGCAGGTGGATTCTTTACCACTGAGCCACTGGGGAAGCCCTTGGAGCCCCTCAAGTCTTTATACTTTGCTCCTCGCCCCGCTTGTATTTACCCTCTTGGCCATTTCCTGGTGAATTTTGCCTCCTTTTGCTGCCTGTTTGTTTCTTTCCTAGCTCTGCCAAGCCAAGGGCTTCATCTGTGAGTTCTGCCAGAATGAGGATGACATCATCTTCCCCTTTGAGCTTCACAAGTGCCGGATCTGTGAAGGTGAGAGCTGGTGCCCAGCATGGGGTCAGCCATCGAGATAGAGCACAGGGCTTATTCATTTCCCGTCAGCTGCCCCTGTTAACAGAAGCTGGGTTTGGTTCAGCAGCACCCTGTGTCTCGCCACAGGTACACTAAGCCATGGTGGTGAGAAGGGTCCTGGCAGTGACTTGCTTCCAGCCTGAGATGACACAGATTGTTCTTTTCTCTCTCCCCTTCCCAACCTGAACAGAGTGTAAAGCGTGCTACCATAAAACTTGCTTCAAGTCTGGGAGCTGTCCCCGCTGTGAGCGGCTGCAGGCCCGGAGGGAGCTGCTGGCCAAGCAGAGCCTGGAGTCCTACATGTCAGACTATGAGGAGGAACCCACCGAGGCCTTGGCCCTGGAGGCCACCGACCTGGAGACCACCTGAGAAAGCACCAAACGCGCTCTTTCTAGGGACGAGGGTCACATAGTGCGGAACTGAGCCACCCTCCTAAGGACTTTGCCCACTTGGTTTTATTTTTTTTTAACTATTATCTTCATTATTAATTTTTATGACCTGTCTAATGTCCATATATTCAACCTTACATAGGTTGGTGGGGTCCAGTCTGTTGTGACAATTTGCAGGTACCAAGCATTTCCATCAGAACTGACACATGGGTCCCTAAGTGAAGCTTCCAGTGCCTCTGTTAGGGGAGTGGACAGTGAGACCCAGTTCTTTCGATACCCATGGCCTTCTCCACTTGGACCAGATCTGGTTTCAGCTGCATCTCAAGAATCATTTCCAGTTTTATTTTGTTTTAATTTTGAAGCTTCTGAGCCAGGCCTTTCTCAGCGAACTCACTTCTCCTTTGCTGCTGAAACAGGAGGGTGGAGTTTTCTCTCTCCCAGTCCTGGAACAGGGTCAGACCCTGAGGAGAAGCATCAGAGAATGGGACTGCGTCATGGGCATTCTTATGTAGGTGCTTCTGAGGCCATAAAAACAGTGTTACTGCTACCTTGGACTCTTCAGACACCTCAAAGAGGCAGTCATAACTTTCTTGTATTGTAAGAGGCAGTCATAACTTTCTTGTATTGTAGGCATAGATGATATCACAGGCTGACTTTCTTTATCTACCCTGGGAGACTTGACACCAAGACCAGAATTGATGCTTAGACCAGGACTATTTCAAGCATAAGTGAGGCCACAACTCTTGTATAAGGAGCATTTGTTCAGTCAGAGGAGCTGTTGGCTTCCTCTTGGGTGATAAGGTCCCTTTTAGCCAACATAGCTCTGGTGCAGGTTTGACCTTTCAAGCTCAGACAAGTCCCTGGTGCCATCTTAAATTGAGGACAGAAGCCCCATCCAGCATCTCATCCGTGGGTCTCTTGCCACTGTGTCCTCTGTTAGGAGGTCACTGCAGTTCTGAGCAGAAGCCTGGCCCAACTCTGTGCTCTTCCTTCCCTCCTGCAGTGGGGCTGGGACCCTCCCCAGTGGCTCCTGGCTTAGTTTCTTATGTCAAAGTTGAGGTGAAAGCTTCCTGCTATTAGTGGTGTTAAAAGACTTGATAGTTTGTGGCTGTGAGCATGAATGTTCCTGTGTTCTTATGATAACAAGAACCTTTATGCCAATTATGCACTTAACTGTTTAGCCTGGTGACGGTAGTATATGCAGTCATCCTTATTACTAATTTTAACACACAACCACACCCTTTTTTAATGTGTGTTTTGATGGGAAAAGTTTTTGAAGGGACCGTATATATGTTTGTGATATTCTTTAAGTTGCTGTAGCTCCTGACCTGTATGTAAGGCACTGGTCAGGGTCACAGCTCCAAGGGTCAGCAGCTCTGTGAACTAAAGCCCACAGCATTTTAGTTCTGGGACTGACTTCTTCCTGGGTACCTGTCTTTCCATAGTTGGTTGCTAGTAGGAAAAAAAAACCTGCTGTGGGCGCTGCCCCAGGAAGCTGAACAGAAAGTTGCACGTGGTTGGTGGAAGCTGCTGAGTGTCTGAGTTGGAGGCAACCAGGAATGTCACTGGAAGTAGTGGGGGCAGTAAAGTAAGAGAGCTGAGGCTCCACCAGGACAGGAGGGAGTGGGAAGAAGCTGATGTCTGGCGTTCGTCCCTCTGCCTCGGACTTGGGATCTGAAGGCCACGTCAGGCTGGAAGACCCTGAGGCTGTTCTCCCTTCAGTTCATGGCAGGGGCAAAGGGGCTGTGAAAGCCAAGGCCTCCAGCCCAGCCCAGTGTTGAAGGGCAGACTAGAAATTCCCTGGTCCATCAAGGAGCTTCGGAGTGACCTTGTGAAACTCTAGTCTCGCTGAGAATTAGGCCTCAGATTCAGACTAAGGTGTTTGTGAAAATGGTGAGCTCTACTTCCAGTTCTGGTTTAAATAAAAAATCCATCTCCTTACTCCAAGTCACTACACTGGAGGAGAGATGTCCTCTCGTTACTGTCGTGTGTGTTTCATGTAGCATAGGATGAAAGGATGGAAGATGCTGACACTTTCTAAAGCTGAGCTCAGCAATCTCACGTGCTCCTGGGTTTTCACTTTTTTTTTTTTCCTCCAGCTCCCCAACCCCATCCCTCTAAGTTGCCTATCTGTTTTAGTGACCCTGACATTGCTCTCCTCACTGTCCAGATACCCATTTATTTATTTATTTGAGAGTTGGGGGAGAGAGGAAAGAGGATGGGGTGTTTTGAAAGCACTTTGCAACATATCAGTATCTGAAAATCCCCACTGTTGTGGGGAGAAGCTTTGAATGCACTGCAGAGAGTTCCTTCTGAGAGAAATAGGAGGGAAGACGTGTTCTTTTCTATAAATAAAGGGAAAAAAAGTTTGCTTGCAAGGTGGAGACAAGATTCAAGGCATAGCAGAAGAGTGGAAGGCAGATATTTTCCACTTAAATGAGGCTGTTATTAATTCTCTCTACCAAGGCTTTAGCGCTTTTGTTGAATTCACATAAAAGGAGCAAGAGTCTAAATAGAGATGTGCTCGTGTGTGTACAACTCGTGTTCCAAACTGAGTTTCTACTTGCTGTAATTCATACACAGCCTAACATTTCATTGTCATCTTTAATAAACTAAGGAAATGAAATTCTGCTTTTTATTTGCCTATCTTGACTATCAGGAAATGGTATTGAGTGTCCACTGTAAAGTGGACATGTCGGAAAATTCAGGAAATTTCTGTTATGATGCAAAGAAAACTGGACCTAACAAGTCAGGAAAAGTGGGTTGGAATGCTTTGTCACTGATTAGCCACGTAACCTTGAGCAGAACAATTCACCATCCTAGATGTCTGTGTCTTTGTGTATAAAGTAGTTTGTAGCACTTTACAATGCATGGGGTGTGCCCGCTACTGGTCCCCTTGGTATAACGGCCCCTTGATTCGAGGTAAATCTTCCTCTCCACAGTCTGAGTTGTCTTAGGTGCCTCAGTCCCCACTTCTGTGAACAACCCTCTCTGAGTTTCTCTTTCATGCTCCTGGCCTGTTGGAGCTCCAGTTATACCCTGCAGCTTTTGTGAACATTTCCCCTTCCGTGTCCTTTGGTCAGCTCCAGCCAGTATGTCTAAAGCCAATGTAAATATCATATTTCCTCAAACTAACCGTTAGTCATCCTGGTTTGAAAATTAATTTCCTCCTCTCTGAGTCAGGTGGCATTTCTGAGTAGGAAAGCAGTGTCACCTCACCACCTGTTGTCACATTGTGGTGATTTTTCTCTTTAAAATAAATCTCATTCCTTTTCTACCACTAGCACACAAATTCAGGTTCTTATCTTAAATCTCAACCCTTCTCCAGCCATGCCAGCCTCTCCCTATTTAATCATCCATCAAATATTTGGGTACCTACTGCTTCCTGGTTTCTGTATTGGGTTCAGGGGTTATCACAGGGACTGAAACAGACATAGGCCATCCCTCTTCAGGCACTTCGAGTCTTGTGCGGGGGACAGACATTGCCCAGAGTTACCAAAATGAATGTGTAATTATGAGCTGTAATAAATAAGAGCTGTGAAGAAAAAGGGTAGATGCTGTTAAAAAAAAAAATAACAAGGGGACCTCATTTAGATTGGCAAGAACTAAGGCCCCTGAGAAGGTGATGCTTTAACCAAGACCCCCAAAATGAGACTCAAGAGTAGGGAGAAAAGGGCTCCAGACTGGGACTAGCATATATGATGATCCTAAGATAGAAGAAGTTTGGGCAAGAAACTTCAAAAAGGACCTACTATGAATTTCAGGTTTTATTGTATTGGGCACCAAAGATTTCAAATTTTATTCTAAGAACATTGGAAAGTTACTGAAGAGTTTCAGTCAGAGGAGTGACTGATCTGGTTAAAAATATCAGCATCCACTTTTGCAGAAAATAGAGCAAAACAAGAGCAGAAGCTGTGGATATCCCAGGGAGATGGGAGAGAAGGAAATATTCCAGTCTAGACTGGAATATGACATAACATTGTCACTGTCATCTCACCAAACCCTCTAAAAAACAAGATAGCTTCTAAATGCTTTGTTTTCACTCTGACATTTTGAAATAGGGAGTAAAAACTGGGGGTGGGTGATGTGGATAGGGCAAGATATTAGAAAAATATTGGTATACATTACAGAATCCAAGGACAATTAGCAACCAAGACTAGAAAGGGTAGAGACCGGAGCAGCTCTGGAACCTCAAATGCAGGATTTGCAGACCCCTTGAGCCTGTGTTGGGGACTCTCTATTGAGGATTGGGGGTGTACCACAAAGGGGAACTGTGAGCCAGGCAGTCATCCTTTGTGGCACTATGTTATGCATCATTTTCTGTGGCCCCAAATGTGTGTAGGTTTACTTTACCCTCTAATGGTATAAAGAGAGGGCTTAATTTTTATAGCACCCTGGTTAAAGCGAGACCCAGCCCAACTTCCTTTTTCCTTGGAACGTTTGACTTAGAGGATGGGAGCAACGGATCACCATGCCCACCATATCCTGCTGGCTCTTCTGCCAGAGTCCGCTCCCACTTCTAATCTCCAGGGTATCAAGCTGCTTATAAAACTTTAGTGAAGCAGCTGCCAGGTGGCCCAGGCATTCCCATTGTGAGCTTGATATTCCTGGGATCAAAGATGAATGTGATTAAAAAGGAAAGAGAATCTACTTAGAGCTACTATTCTAGGAGCGTGGAGAACACAAGGGTGTGCTTTATTTTTCACAGAACTAGAACAAATAATTTCACAGTTTGTATGGAAATACAAAAAACCTTCGAATAGCCAAAGTAATCTTGTGAAAGAGGAATGGAACTGGAGGAATCAACCTGCCTGACTTCAGACTATACTACAAAGCCACAGTCATCAAGACAGTATGGTACTGGCACAAAGACAGAAATATAGATCAATGGAACAGAATAGAAAGCCCAGAGATAAATCCACGAACCTATGGTCACCTTATCTTTGACAAAGGAGGCAAGGATATACAATGGAAAAAAGA